TTGAAAAATTATTAAATTTACAGTACCACTTGTCCAATGCCGAAAATGTAGCTATAAAAGTATCTAAAGAAAATTTGTTTCCTCGTTTGATTAATACCTAGGTAATTCCCAAATCACGTGATGTTTGTTAAAAACTGATGTTTGTAACGTTGTCAGACGAGAAAGATGTAGCGAAAGGTGCAGCGTTGTTAGGATTTCTATATTTCTACGTAGATACCTACGTATACAGATGTTGCAACGACATTTTCAAACAACGTTTGGACTCTCTGTTTTTCTTATTCTCTTATTTGCTGGAAAGGTAGACGGAGAAATAAACCTATAATAGAAATAGAGAGGAAGAAAGAGAGAGAGAGTGAAAGGGGGGGAGCAGGGAAGAGAGAAAGAGAGAAGTAATTGTTCAAAGTCGACTAGGTGCAGCAATTGCGAAGGCGAACCATCATGTCGGCACGGCGACGCGGTGGTGTGGCGGCATGGTGCGGCGTGGTGCGGCGTGGTGCGGCGCGGTGCGGTACGGTGCGGAGGCGGCAAGGCAAGGCGAGGCGCGGCGCGGCGCGGGCGTCTCGATTGGTCCGGACATACGAGCACGCACGTATTCGCGGTACAAGACTGAAAGGACACGTCTCGAATATTTTACCCCGGGAGTTTTTCCTCTTTAATTGATTCAATCGGCGAAAAACACGGCAGGACCGTTTCACCCTCCGGGAATTTTCGCCCGCCGCTTCACGCCGCCTCACGCCGCCTCACACCGCCTCACACCGCCTCACACCGCCTCACACCGCCTCCGCGTCATCCACGCTTTCAGCAACCAACCGCTGTAACGAGACGCTAGAACTAACCTTCCTTTTCGATGAAAACGCCAACTCCTCTTCGCGGTTATTCCCTTTCCTATTCCCTCATCCCTCTGTTCGCCACTTTCCTCCTTCTCCCTTTCATTTTCCTCACTCCTTCCTTCTCTCTCTCTCTCTCTCTCTCTCTCTCTCTCTCTCTCTCTCTCCCTCTCTCTCTCTCTCTGTCCTACCAACCTTATTTTCTCCTTATCATTATTTTCAGTTTCTCTGCACGTCAATTTTTTTTTTTTTTTCTTATTTTTATTTCTCTAATCGCTCTTCTACCTGCATTTCCTTTCATCCACTTTATTCGCTTTCATTCCATTCTATCGTTTTTCTACCGTTTACTAATATTTCACATCTCTTCTTTTCTTTTCTTTTTTTTCTTTTACATATTCATGCATTTCGCTCAAGGTTAGATCATCTATCGACATCTCTCACGTCGAGATATCGAAATTCGAAACATTTAGGTACCTATACGCGAGCAGACACGGGGGAGCGAAAACGGTAGACAGTAGATAAGTACGATACATACTGCTATTTCCGTGAATCGTTTGCCTGTAGGAAAGCGCACTGCTGAGAGTGGGTACACTGGAAACAGAACTTTCCATAAATGATGGAAACTCGCGAATTTTCCGTTTGTTATTTTAATTAGAGCCTTCAGGCCATACTTAACGAGAATCTGGCGGCCTGCGTTTACATTGTATACCTCCACAAAACGACAATGGAGTGTGCTATCGGTTTCTGGATAACGCGACACAGCGCAACGCCCTGTGCCCGTAATCTGCGCCCCAATCGTGAAAATGAAAATCTCCTGCACGAGCGAGTATATAGTGGTATTTCGTTCATATCGTATCGTATACTAACGGATACTATCCGTTTATAAAGAATTCTCAGCTATTGTTATTTTTCTTTCTCTTTTTTTTTTTTCACATCTAGATAGCTACGTAATTGAACGAATATAAAATTTATTTTTCTCAAATAGGATTTTTAATTCGAGAAACGTCGCGACAGAGAGGAGTAGCTACTTACTCTTTCTCGTCGTTCTTTTACGATTATTTTTTACTTTGCACAGTCGTAAAAATTGTTTCACTAGCTAAAAAAAGGGACAAGTTTTTTCCGTTACTGCGAAAAGTGTAGTGGAACTGGTTTTTTGCCGTTAGAAGGTCCCGTTAAAAAAAGCAACGGGAAAAGTGCTTATTTTTTATACTCGGTCACTTGTAGAAAGACGATAAAATAGTAACCTTCCTGTCACTTAAATTTCTTTATTTATCACGCAAAAAATGTACGCGACGACGCAAATGTTTTAAACTTGAAATTCAATGTTTTGTCGAAAAGAGACGTTTTTGCTATAAAATTTGTTACTTAAAAAGCTGACTTTTCAACTTCTCTTTTTTTTTTTCTTCTTTTTTTGCAAGTATTATCTACTTACTTCGGTACCTACTGCTTTTTGCTTCTCACAAATACGCATGCGAACAATTTTTAAAAGAAGGTACTGCAAAGATTTACGATGCATTTTTTCCTTTTAAAAATGTACGTGAATCTTTTTTTGTTTTTAATAAAAAATATCATCCGTGCTTGTAATATTTTTCATGTATTATCTCCAACTGCTATATACTTACAATTAGCATATGGTGCTGTTACATAATGCCTACATAATTATTCGCTTTTACGTCAAAAGTAATACCTATTATTTAAATTAGTGTATGATGTTTCAAGTTGCATCTACGTAGGATAGTGGCCTATCTACATAGATACATGTCTATCTATCCTTCTATAAAAAATTGCACATAGGTACTAGCTACCTACTTATAAATCTTTATAAATTGTGTTTTATTTGAGAAAAGCTTCGGGAATTTAAACATGAGCTAAAATTTTATAATCTAAAATCATAACAATAAACTTATTTTCTTTTGTGTATGCGCATGTACATGTACATTTCATTATTTTATTTATCCCTTTATCCTTGGATTAGATTATATTAGAAATATAATCCTTAGATTAGATTAGGTTAGAAAATAATAGACAAGTATTTGGATAGGTATTGCTCGTTACTAGCATCGTGCTTATTACATACAAAGGACTGAAAAATCTCTATTGGAAATTACAACAGAAAGAAAGAAAAAGGGGAAAAAAAAAAAAAAAATAGGAAGAAATAGAAAGCAGTAAAAGGATGCGGATGGAGCCAATATTGATTAAATACCGCGTGGAATATTTTGAAATCGGATATTTTAATTTGTAAATAGAGCATATTATTCCCAGTGCAGTGCATTGTGATGACGGTGTCTGTAGGGTTCAAAAGGACCGCTTTTAATGACCCGGACGTATATAGTTCCACCTCGCAGTATCCTATTCAATTCCAACCTCTGTACCCTCCGTAATCTCAAAGTAATTCTCTTTTCGATTCTTCCACTCCTTTCGCCCCTCAAGTTCGGCTCACGTTACCATACCCACTTACAATTAGATACCAAAGTACTTTGCACCGATTCCTTCACGACGTACCTACTTGCTTACTTGTTCACGTACTTATTTACTCATGTACTTGTGCTTTTTTATAAATTGTCTACTTATCCATTTACATTAGCTCACGTATCACATTTACATAATCTTTACACAGATTATTGACACAACTTGAAATATATGATTTTTCACACAACTTACAATTAGCTACATAGATGTTCATTTGATCAAATTTAAACGACTTCAACCTCACCCAAATTATGATGTTAGACCCGTAACTCTTTGTGCAATTACAGAAAGATGCGAGCATAGGTGCGGTAAACGAGCAATCGAGCTTATGAACACGTTTGATTTAGCTGTACGGTTATTTCTAAATAGAAAAAAATCACTGTTCATCGCTTGAAATTCGCAAAACTGCTAAAATAACATGCTTCTAAATTTTTTTGGCCGTAAACGTAATTTTGCCAGAAATTACATGTACATATGTAATTTCAAGTATGATCAAATTCGTCTATCTATTGAATAGGATTCCAGGTCAAGTGTAATATAGAAAGAGAGCTCAGGGTCTAGAATCGAAGATGCAATTGCAAAAGTTCACAAATTAATTCTCTTAATTAATTTCTTTTACAAATGAAAGTTTGATTAATTCGTAGAAACTGAAATGCTGGCGCCGCGTAGCGGTGAAACGATGGAACTAAAATCTATCTCTGTCCTTGTATCACAGTGTTGCACTCCTTGTCTATTCAATAGAGTGTTTCGATCCATTGAATAAAAATTCTAAATCTTTATTCTATATATCAAATGAAATGTAGAAAGAAAGCTTAGGCTCTAGAAACGAAGATGCAACTACAAAAGTTTACAAATTAGTCTTTTTTTGCAATTGAAATTTACAGCGAAATGCTAGCGTCGCGTAGCGGTAAAATGATTGAACTAAAATAAATCACTGTCCTTGTACCTCACGCGGTATTGCGCATCTTGTCTATCGATTATGCTGTCACTTATACCACATACGAGATCTTATGGGATTTCATGCCCCATGCTCTGAAATACCGACTAATACTAAGCTACTAAAGGAAACAACGCTTAATCTATTCATTCATCTTCAGAAATACGCAATACTAATTGCGATGCGTCCAGTACAATCATGCTGGAGGTTGCTGTGAATGACCACTTCTGTACAGCTCTTGTAGCTGCATCAGGTAATTTAAGAGCCTTCCACCAATACAGTGGAAGAATTTGGGCATTTTGTAAACGCAACGTTACTTCAAGAAAACGCGATCATTCATTATCGCAAAACTAAGATCGAAAACTAATTGGAAATCGCGATGGAACAATATCGCAACACTAAAAGTAAAAGTAACTGGAAATCGCGATGAAATAATGTCGCAACTCTAAAACCAAACTATCATTGACAATACAAATGCTATTTTAAACATTCTAACTTGAACCAAGAGAAAGCAAGCAAATTTTACTATATATAACATTAAGACCAACTAGAAAAATTCACAGTCAAAATTGCAAAAGACAATCGCGTCAACTCTAAAGCAAATATGATTATTATCTTTTTGTAATTCTAATCTAAACTGTAATCAATTTTTCGCAACATTAACACAGACGCGAAACTTTTTCGCAACTCTAATTGAACCCGTAATCAAAACCGCGATTTGCCCAAAACGACGATGAATGAACAATAATAGAGAAGAAAAAAAAAATACAACTACAAATACTAAAAGAGCATAGTGACAAAGTAGTAACGAGAATGACTTCCCATGCTCTGAAATTATTTGAATAATCCAGAGGATGAGAAAGCATTTGTTGTGACCCTCTTCGTGGCAGTTTGCCGGGTCTCTTCGGCTTCAAGCCTTTTCTTTCTTCGAGCGCAATGCCCGCTGAAACTTACGTCTAGCTCGAGTCTTTCTAATCTCAAACCAAAAAAATAACTTGCAAAGGTGAAATGGAAAGATAAATCGTGGAAGTTGACCTCAACATACATAGACGACCATCGATCATAGTGATCGTTGTCCGCTCGCACGTGCGTGCTCGAGCAATACCTAGATAAACGTTCGTTTCGGGACCTACTCGCGACCTATCCCGCGACCGCGATGCTAAATTCAAAAAATCGAAGAGTAAAACCAGAAACAAGTGGCATGCTCCATTTGTATCAATCTCACTGTCGATTTTTCAAATTAGATTTCCTGAAACAGGTTGGACACGCGAAAGAAGGACCACGCGAGATGCCAGAGACTGTGGCCAACCTGCCCGGCCCTACCTACTTATAATTAAACACATTCACGCCAGAAAGTATGCTACCTATCCTAACCAGTCGCCCTATATTTAAAAAATGGCAAAACAGGCACACCAACACATTCACTCCCCGGTTCTCACACATACCACTCGGACGCAGACCTAAACTAGAGAGGACGTCCCGGGACGCCTCCGACATCCGGGCTTAACGCACAACTTTCACACTCTAATTTACGTACCATTTTCCTAAAATCGACTGACAATGACTAGCGACCATTGCGTAAAACGTGATTGAAACACGTTTATATTTACAACTATATGTGACATACTAATGACTGAAAAAGAATACGTGTAATACTTATACAAATTACACGTACAAGTTAAATCACTGTTATAATTGATAGTATAATTAATAACGTAGTTATAGTATTTGATATTTAATAGGTATTATTATAATAAATTCATATTTCAAATTAGTGCATGAATATTTTAAATATTTCAACTTATAATGAATGGAACAATAAAAACGACGTGATTCCACATCCTAACCACTCACACACATGTGAAAAATACGTCGTGCACGATACGCTAATACATTGTCAGTCGCTGAGAAATCTTTCATAAAATTACAAACTATGGTCATCATGCCCAATGTCTTTCACCCACCCAAGTAGCACCTGGGCACGTGAGTGAGATCCTGACAATGAACACGGAAGGGGTTAAACCTGAAAATCCTAAACTAAAAGAATAATTAGTTTATATAATTTCTATCTAACAGACTATTGCATTATTTTATTTCAAACTGTGACTTTTTCAGAAACTATTGAAATTGCAAGAGAATAAGGACAAAGAATCGAATTTATTAAAAAGGCAAATCTAACAATTGACTCAAAAAATCAAAAATCAAACAATTGACTCTAAATTAAATATTAATAGAAACAATCTCAGGCGATTTCTTCATCAAAGCACATTCTCGAAAATGCGAAAACAGTATCCAATCTTGTTACTTTGATTCAAAAATCAAAACCTGCCTGTCGCAAAGTATCTTCTTGCACATAAAATTTCATACACTTTTCTATGGACAAAATTCTAATCTATTATTATTCAAATTCTACTCAAGTTCATAATTATAAAACTCTGTTAATTCAATCATTCACAATACTATTAAAAAAGGGAAGATAAAGCTGGAAATTATTAATTATTATAACAAAATACATTGCCAACATCAATAAATAAATAATAATTGCATCTTTCATAGCAACAAAATCGGAGGATATCCGTCTTCTCTACTACGAAATGCTTAAACGAAATTATTTTAATAATAATAATTATTTGCCATTTATCTATTCATGTGGATATCCACGTGTATATTTTGCTTTTACAAACATTTGCATTGAATAATCACATTTTGATTTTACAAGTAATTATTATAAATGTGTATATTCATGCTAATTGCCAAAATCGCGATGTGCAAGAAGCCCTATCCTGATCTAATACATGAAAAACTTGAAAAAATGTTACTACTCACGGGTATAAAAAATTCCCGCGGTCACTATGCTCATCAAAAATTCTACGTATACAACCAGTCACTCGTGTCGATTCGGACCTTTCATCCTACGACATGATTGAGTGATCGGAGGGACATAAATGCATGCGACTCACAATTAGATGCTAAGAACGTTGTCATCGATGCAACATTCGATCAAAGAAGGTCGTTGTGAAGATTCTTATCAAGTAGATTTCACCGAGAATCCCATGATGAAAGTGAACGCCGTGAAAGATTTCTTGAAAAGCATAAAGCATAAAGCATAAAGTGTTATTTGTGAAAATTTAAATTTTAATAATGGTAAAAATTAGGATTCCAATAATTTTAATAATGGTAAAAATTAGGATTCCAATAATTTGAAATATCTTTATTTTTTAGTTATAATTTTACATCTGACTTCAATAAAAAGAGAAGTATAGAATTAATTCAAGTACAATATGCTAAAATACTTACATTTTTAGCTTCTGAAGCATCATGAGATCCTTAAAAGATTAGGGGAAGTGGAGATTGTAGAAAATCTGTAACAAACACTAAACATTAGAATTTATGTTTAAAAGCAAAGCAAAATCTGAAGTTGGAAATAATGAGGGATTCTTACATTCTTGGCTTTAAAGCCACCAGTTGGATTTTTCCCAAACAATACAAAAAAATTGTTGCTGATGTGAAGCGTCTGTAACAAAACGCCGAACTTATACTTTGTTGCTAAATTTGAAAAATTGAATAAATGAAGTATATATAAAATTACGATCTTGATCTCCTGGAGAGACTTTATCCTTTTGAGCACTGACACTAATACCGAAAACGAATATTGAACTGACGAAAAAAGAAAAAAAAAAGAAAAATAAAAGACTATCAACGCGCACATTTAAGTAAAAATCGGCAGATTCACTGACTCTAACTTCGCGAATTATGATTTAAACGAATTAATAATTTAATTTAACGAGAGCCATTTTGTTCAGAAAAATATTACAGCAACAAGCACCGACTCTACCGAAAAAAATTATTCACTTCTTCTGGTAATCTGGCAGATCTCGATGAACTGAAGATAAAAATGCAAGTTTTAACTTGAAAATTCACAATACAAACACAAATCTAACAACTATTAATTTTATGTTTTTACCTGAGATACTTTTTTCGTAGACGAGGTGCACTTCTTTCCGCCATGCTTCCCGCTGATCCTAAAAATCGATCGTGAGAAATATCGATTACGTTCGAGAATCGTAGGATGTATATTGCGTACTTCACCGTTGGCGCTGTAATCGCGTGTTTCACTCGAAATGTTAACTGGGAAGAAAAATAAAAAAAAACTAGCCTAAATCAAATACATGAGAAACTCGTAGAAAAGAACGAAAATATTCATACACTACATGAAAAATTGTCAATGCATTAAATTGAGAAATAGGGAATTTTATTATATTACGCAGTAGAATCATTATTTTAGCCATTAAATACGTATTAGCCATTAATTAATAAATTATTCTTCAATTTAACATTAGCATTGTTAAGAATTACGCAGTATGTAGAATTAAAGAATGAACAAATGAACAGAAAATATTACAATAGAAGTAAAAGTGATATATTATATATAATAATAAATTAGTCATATTACAGGGTCACAATATTTGTATTGGTTAGAATTGAAATTAAATTTTGATATAAAATTATAAATAACCTTTAGTACAATATGTTCTATTTAAATGTTTATATACTATTACTTCGTTAATTGTTGAAAATTATATATATTAATTATTTGGTTAAATTTTACCTTGAGTTGAAGCTAAAAATGCATGTTTTTATCTAAAAAAATACAAAACACAAACACAAATCTAACAATTATTGATTTAAATTTTTACCTTCTTTCTAGATGATTTTTCTGAATAACACTTTTTTCTTTACAGACGAGGTGTGCTTCCTTCCGCCATTCTTCGCGTTTTGAAATCGATCGTGAGAAATATCGATATGTTCGAAAATCGTAGGAAGTGTATTGCGTATTTCACCGTTGGCAATTTAAACACAAAACACGCGCGTTTCGCACGAAACGTTAACTGGAAACAAAATTCTGGTCTATATCAAATGCACGTAAGTCTTATTAATCTAATGAATATAAATAATGAAATAACGAATATAATGAAGTATGAAAATAACATTATAATGTGATACTTTTTCATAACTAAGTGTGATTTTTATTGTAATGTTACTCACAGATTAATTTCCATTATATTTAATAATATATACTTCGTCTGTGTTATATGTTGTGTGCTATACACCTTAGTTCCACTGATCTCTGATAGACGGCAGCATCAATATGTTAAATGTGACGACCGTTACACGTTAAAATTGAAATCAGCGCCATCTATAACAAAGCAATCGTTCTGCCGAAAAGTACATTTCCTGTAAACCGACATCGCTAACTGTATGTAAACCCCTAACATAAGAATATTTGTAAATTGTCATTTTATTTTTATTATTACTATGGGGATGTTATTACCATGTTTACTTATTTATAGAGATGTATATATAGATCCCATTTTATAATTTGTTATTCGTTCCTTAATTAACATTCGGAGAAAACAGTTATCTATTTGTGCTATAAACTTTATTGTTATTTAAATGGCATTTATTATAATTTATTAAAAGTTACAAAGTTCTTTTTATTTATTTGTAGTATTATGATATTATCATAATCACTATATAGACAAGAAGTGCAATAATGTGCGACAAGGACAATATAAATTAGTTCTACAATCTCACCGCTACGCAACGTTCCATTCCCCATGAATTGATCAAATTTTCATTTGCAAAAAAAAAAAGGTTTAAATAATATTAAATTTCTCATAAACTATATTCAAAATTTCGATCAAAATTAAGCGTAAGTATAAATGAAAGCATCAGATTTAAAATACATGACTTGAATGAAACGCCAATCAATCGCGTGAAAATGATTTAATTGTGAAACACCGAAAAGCATTGTACACTATCTTAACTTTTTACTAATCCATGCCTGTGTTTTACACGTGGGAAGTTAAAGTAATATCTAAGACGAGGTATAATTGTAAATATTGAAAGGTAAAAGTATCAAGTAATATAAATATGTAATTAATATTTTCATGTTCTTTTTACTTTTAAGAAAATAGTGGTAGAAACTTGATAAGTTGTATTTACATGGTATAGTTATATTAATAATATTCTTTGATATGTATTTGTACATTTATGTAGTAATTCTTTTAATTCGTTTCAGCTTTTATCATCATATTTTATTTAAATCATGAAAATAAAAAAGACAAAACCTGCAAGAGAAAAAGAAGAAACAAAAAAACATGTCACAAAAAAGAAGAAACAATTAAAAAATGTAACTACAGATGACTTTTTCAATCAAAAATTTGGAGATAAAATGATTGATGATACTAGTGAACAAGGTAATAGCACATAAAAGAAAGAATTAAATGGTATAAACAATATTTTTATTTGATTTTGGTTCAAAATCAAAACAAGATGTAGATGAAAACAAACACTAATTGAAAAGGCATATTTGAAACTTGATAAAAAGATGTCTTGAAGAATCTGACATTTTGATTGTGATAATATTTTGATTTGTGATTATGATTAACTGTTTGCAATTAAATTTAATACATAATTTTAAAGAAAAAACAAAAATTTTCTTTGATAATTAGTTATAACCTAATTGATTATAATGTCATCAGTAAACTAGTGTCAATATCTTTTGCACTTGAGTATTCTTAATATTGTATAAATAAAGCTATTTTTTTATTTATGTATATCATCTTTGAGATATAACACATACATCTGTCAATTTTAATTATTACCATAAGTATACTACATAAACCAAGACTGTGTATGTATTAACTTTTTAAAGAAAACTAAAAATTAGATACACTGTAAAAGAAAACAACATTTATGAATGAATAACATTTTGCTAAAAAATAAAATTTTTTATATGTGACGGATCAAGATATGTATGAAGATGATGCAAGAAGCAGTGAAAGTGACATGGATCCGATAGAACATAAAAAATCTTTGATGAGACTAAAGGACACAGACCCTGAATTTTATGCATATTTAAAAGAAAATGATAAGAATCTTTTAGAATTTAATATATCGGACAATGACAATGATAGTAACGACGACGTTAAATCTTCAAACGAATTAAATACAAGACACATACCCAATAGTCATTTAGAGGTACAAAAACGAAATGGACTAACAAAAATAATTTTTTATGTAAAAAAATTAAAAGAAACAAATATTACTTTATATGTATAAAATATTTTAGGTTGCCAGCGATGAGAGTGATTATGAAATAGATCAAGATAATGAAATAAAGGATAAAAAGAAACTTACGTTACAATTATTAAAGACATGGCAAGAGGAAATTCAGAAAGACAAGTATGTAAGGACAATTGTATTTATGTATATATGTTTTATATGCATTGTCTGTATGTAACTTTTCAGATCATTGAAAACAATTAAATGCGCTATAGAAGCTTTTCATGCTGCATTGCAAACTGTAGCTGAATCTGCTGATCCAGAATCTCTACAATATAAAGTAGAGGGTGGAGCAGGTTGGTTTTTTAATATTCAACATTATATTGAACAAGTATTTTCTGTTTCAATAATTAAAATATCATTTAGTGTTTAATGGAGTTGTACAATTGTGTATATTGTATTTACCGAATGCATTTAAAAGATACTTAAAGTTGAGTTCAGAAACTCAGTTTCACGCTCATAAGGTTAAAAGGTTTGGAAAAGTGAAAAGTATCCTCAAGTCGTATTTGGTAGATTTAATTAAGGTAAATATAAGGTTAATATTACGAATATTTAAACTGTTGCATGGTATAAATTCGAATCTATAATATAAAATATGTATGCGAATATATTTATTTATTGCAGATTTTACAAAATGTAACATCAACCAATATTCTCACAGTTCTTTTAAAACATTTACACCAAATGTTGCCATATACACAGTCATTTTCTTCATTAACTAAACCATTATTGAAGCTTTTATTAAGACTTTGGTCAACTGGTGAAGAAACTGTTCGTGTTGTTTCGTTTCTGAGCATATTGCGTATCGCAACTAGTAATCGAGAATCTGTTTTAGAAACATTATTCAAGGTAAACAAAATTATATTAATGTTCATGATATACATGATAAGAATATAGCATAGCAATTTTGTTACAGTTAATGTCTTTAAATTAATATATTGCAGGCGATGTATGTAAAATATGTTGAAAATTCCAAGTTTGTATCCCTCACAACTTTACCTGGAATTAATTTTATGAGACATTCTTTAATTGAAATATATTTACTTGATAATGATTTAGCTTATAATCATGCCTTTTTGTATATTAGACAATTAGCTATCCATTTAAGAAATGCTATGACTTTAAAAAGAAAGGTAATATTTAAAATGAGATACTACATATCTTTTTCTGTTAATATTTTTTTTATTAATAAATCAATTGAACTTACTCTAGGAACATTTCCAAGCTGTGTACAATTGGCAGTACATAAATTCTTTGAGATTTTGGTCGGAATTGATAAATTTGTCACAAAATGATTCTATATTACATTCACTTTTATATCCTCTTGTACAGGTATGTATTCTTACTCTCAGTATTATGATTGAGATATTAAATTATAAAATTATTAAACATGTATTGTGCTTTTACAGATTATTATAGGAACAATCAAATTAATACCAACACCACAATATTATCCGCTGAGATTTCATTGTTTACAGATATTAACAGATATTTCTAAAGAAACTGAGACATTTATACCTGTCTTACCATTTTTATTAGAGGTATGATAAGTTTTTTATCAGGAAACGAAAACTAATTTTAGATGTTAATTCGATAAATTATACAAATACTAAAATTATTTAAGTCAAATTGTTACTTGTGTAAAATAAATTGATCAGTTCATGTTTACCGTTAAAAAAACACTTGGATCTTCTATTCTAGATATTAAATTCTTATGATTTCAATAAGAAACATAAGGCAGTATCAATGAAGCCAGTGCCTTTCATTTGTGTGTTAAGGATGTCCAAGTCTCAATTACAGGAAAATGGTTTTAAAGATAACGTTATTGATTCGATATATAAACTTATCTTAGAAAATGCTGCTAAAGATAGTCATACAGTGTACTTTCCGGATTTATATATACCATGTATAATACAGGTAAGTTAATTATTTATATTCAAGCGGGTGATACAAATTAAATTAAACGAACGTGTCATTTCGACGATAAGATAAGTTAAAGTTATTGTAATAGATAATAAAGATAGAAAAAATTCAACACTGAGTTGATATTTCGAAATTTAGATATTAAACAGATATCAATCAGTATTGAAGCAAATATATACTGTAAATAGTTTCCTATTTTGTTAAACGAGCATTGGAAGTATTAATTTTAACTTGTTCGTCGCTTGAACTTTTTATATTTATTTCAGTAAATTAAACTTTATAGAATTCATAATTCTTTTTCATGCAAATATATTTTAAGCGGAAATTTTATATTATATTCATTCATTTTTAGTTAAAGGCATTTTTAAAACGATGTCACATAGCAAACTATTGCAGAAAAATGAAACAATTGTTAGATAAGATTGAAGGGAACAGGACATTTATTGAGACTGAGCGTAGTAAAACCGTAATGGATTTAAAAAATATGTCAGAGATAAAGAACTGGGAGAACAAGATAAAAGTACAAGGCACATCGTTATTGAAATTTTATGAATCTTGGATAAAAATCCATCAGTCTCAAAAACTTAAATTACTTACAAAAAATGAAGATATCTCTGACTACAGTTTACCATCTATTAAAAAATTGAAGAAAGGAAAAGAAAATGGAGAAAAAAGCAGAGAAGAAAGCAGCGAAGAAAGCGATTTTGATATAAGGATAAAGTCTGACGAGGGAAGACTTGAAAAACGTTCTAAACCAAAAAGAAGGAAACTAAGAGCTAACAAAGACATTAAGGACAAAGACATTGATTTACCTACGGAAAATACAGATATCATACGAGACATCGATAGTAACGATTGGGATTAAATGTAATTTACTTCACATGTATGATATATGTATGATAAATAGATATCAATTAAAATTTTAATAATTAATAGAATAATATTATTTTTAGAATTCAACATATTTAATAATAAAGATTTTTGTTATTACAATTGAGTAATTAAAATTACACAATTATCAATCTAAAATTCTGTAAAACTAACATACAATATATTCTTCTATTTTAATTAGAAGAAAGAGAGAGATTATTTATCGTGTATTTACTTATTTACGACAAAATGACGAAATGTATTAACAAAGAAACTGCAGCAAGTTGTGAGGAGATCGAATGGGTGCTATAACTTATGTCGCGTACAGCAGCAGCCACCGATTTCTGAGGTGTCGCTTTCTGATAGTCTATTTTTACCGAAGACGACTCAAGGCAGTCGGGAAGTTGGTATAGCGAAGACTAGGCGCTATTATAAAGCATCGTGTGCTTGGCGTGTAGTTTGCATTTCAAGTGAACGTTGCAGATAAGGGGAAAAAAGCTTTTTAAAGACGGAAAATAATAGTGTTCGATTTGTTGAAAAATAAGGGTAGAACTGATGGGGGAAGCTTGAATAAAGAACAAGCTTATCCTTCACGCGATTGAGCGTTTGGACGACTCCATTGGAAGAGGATTCAATTACGTATGTAGGTGAATCGAAAAAAAAAGCAAATGTTTATTGATCGATGTAGCTGGAGCGTGAAGTTTTCTGTCATGTTTGTAAGAAGTTTATGATAGTCTGCTTGATATAAAAATAAATATCCGTCTGGTATTCGGTTTCTTTCGACAAGTCTCAGGCATGAATGGGCCGCTGGCGAGCGATGCTGGTGACCGCTAGCCACTAAGTGCCATGCTGACGGAGTTGCCGCGGTTGTGGTGTGCCTAGTCGGCCAGCTCTTGTGCCTAACTGGCCACGTCCGTCCGTGCCAGAGAATATTTTGTAAGATGCGATTTTGTCTTTCATGGCAAGGGAGCGTTCGTCGTGAGATTCGTTCGCTTTCCGTACGGTCCACTTCGTTCGAAGTGTAGTACGCTCGCGGGTTACGTAAATTGCAAACAAAAAAAAAAAAAAAAGAAAATAACAAAAAGGAAAGAAAGAAAAAAAAATTCGTTGCGAAAAGGAAAAGCGCCTCAAGATAAGGAGGAAAGAAATTAGCGAATTGTGCGTAGAACGTCGAAATGAGGAGGGCACCGTTCGATAAGTAAATTTTCATTCTCTTGTTTCGAGAATCGGGATGAAATAGAGTACACATTAGTGGGAAAGAAGCTTCTCACCGCGTCGATACCTTTTGTGAAAGTTTTGCATCATTTCCCACGCTTCCAGCGCTTCCTACGCTTCGTGTGCTTCATTGTGCGATGGTTCGACGAATAAACGTACAGTGCGTTGCTTAATACCTCTACTTAAGGTATAAGAAATTTTAAATACAATTTTACCATTATGTCGATCATTGGCACAAATTTTCTTACATTTTCATAAATAATGAAAAAATGATGAGAATGTTTGTGACAAAGATCGGTAATTATTATTTTGAAATATTTCCTCAATAACAATCGAACTTTTTCTGCCGATTAATCTAACAGATCAATCACGTTACTTTAATTTACAAAAAAAGATTAAAAAGTTAAATTTGATACATTTTCAAGTTTATAAAGTGTAACAAGTAGAGTTTCACGCAATTCTGAATAAATTACAATCTGACGTTGATACAAAATAATTCGCGTTATAAATTTTACAGTAATTATTTTAAAGTATTTTCGATCGTATCAATAGTGCAAAAAAAAAAAAAAAAATACATTGCAATACTATTTAAACGTAAGTCAAATTATCAGTAAATATGGCAAAAAATATATAGTAAAAATTTGACAATCAAAAAGCAAGTTCTCGGTAATTCGTATCAACTTTTTTCCTAATCTCATTCGAAACATACCTTTACATTATTTATACTTATACGATACGGGAGATTTTATAAATATCTCTCGATTCGCTTTTTCTTCGTTAGCTTTAATTTAGTTGCGTATTTTTTTCGATCAACTTGCTTTCTAATAAACGCAGCACTGGTAATACGCCCCGAACGCAACCGCTCAAACTGTTACTGCGTATTACGTTACAACAGATAAATTTAGCATTTCTTTTGCATAGAACCTTATTGTACCGCTGCCAATACTGCAACGCGGAATTAATTGGCTGCTTGGAAGAGAACCAATTTCTTTTGATAAAAAATCTGACTTTTCCGATGTCACGTATACACACAAATGTCTATATAAATATATATCATGTGTACTTATTTGCGTTCGGTTTACTGCTGACTTCTGTTTATTTTTTTTTTCTTTTTTTTTTATTAAGATTTCATATTTGCGAAATAGCACCACAACTGTAACGTTGACATACAAACGAAATATTGTGAAAAAAATTTGAAATTACATTTACACGGCTTCCTTTCAAAACAAATAAATCAATTTCGCTCTTTTGCTTTTTATACGTAGATTATACACGTAAGATTATACATAATTTGAGTAATTAAAAGAATATTTACGCACTGGTGTTTCAAATGAATAAAAAATGTTGTATTCATTCACTGTAGAAATTCTGATTAAAGAAACAGCTTGTAATGTCCATGATTTATTATATGTTATTACATATAATATAATTTCAAATTAATACTAAGGGAGCGAGGAGGGGGGGGGGGGGGGGGGGGGGGGGGACGGGACCCAATTGTTCGTTTCACATTATAAATCAAATTACAATGTTATTTCTAATAGCAAAAACTACTGTGTTAAAAGTAGCTTCTGAGTAACATTGGCTTCGATTTGAATTTTTTCGTTAATTTTCACGATCGATTTATCGTAAGGAAATGAAGTCCGCAGTAAACATCACGAACAGTTTGCACGAAACATAGACTAAACAATTACCATTTACCGGCAGACACACTAACACGAAGCGGAACGTTTCGAGCAACGCGTACAGTTCGTATAAAATTGCGTCTGAAAATTCGAAGGATGCCAAGTTCCAGTACAGTGTAAATTACAGTAATTTACAAGAAACGAATTATCTGCAACGAAGCATTTCCGCAGACAATGTTATAATACGTTCCCGCGGCTTCAAACCCTCCGATAGGCACGATCCTGTGAAGAGGAATTTCCTTGAGAATCTTACAAGACAAATACTGCATTTCGACATGGTGAGTATTTATAGTTTTTCGTTATAAAGTCTAAATTTCATATATGTTCGGAAGCATAGTAGTTAACTTTTAGCACGATACTTGATCGTTTAAATGTGATTTCACACGTGTAGTTGCATTAAGCACAGCGATGACAATATGTACAGAGCGATCGTTGTGTTCTCTTTCTCTTTTCTTATCTCCTTTTGCCTAAAAAAAAAAGTGAGTTACCCGGTCGATCAACACACTTTTTAGTAATGTATCTAGAAAAGAAATTTACCTTGCATTACAAAACAAACAAGTTAAGTTAAAGATTAAAGATATTATAACATTTACAAACCATTTGACAGTTACTTTCTCCGACTTGTAGGGATATTTGTACGTACATAAGTAGGTATGTACATACATTGAATTTAGTGCTGCTCAACAATCAGTCTGAAACTGACCTATAATATAAGATATACACTTTATGACTGCGACTCTGTAAAATTGGCTAGTTTATTACATCCATCTCGTCCATTTGAAATTATTGCTCTGTTATAAATATAGTTTATTTATTTCGTCAAAGCGTGCCTCAAGCGTAGCGAAATACATAACACTAGACTTGATTGTTAATTTTGAAACGCTTGAAATTCCTTCGATAGTACCTCGACAGTTCTTTTCGCAGTCCTTTGGAACTTTATTTTACATTTTATGTTACGTTACAATTATTGTACAATAACAATTATACATGTATGTACATACATTGATTTACTTTTACTTTTATTTTAAAGGAGAGCAATGAAAGTACACCGGTCAATTTGCAAAAATTGCTCACGCCTGCCTCAGATTCGCAGGGAATCATACAATCGAAAAATAGTAAGTTGCACGTAGAACAGAATAAAAAATATTAATCGTATTACACAAGTATTATTGGCCAAAGTCTGTGCGCGTACATATGATATTTTTGCGAATCAGGAAACATTAGCAATTTAACAGGAACGTAAATAAGAATATGTGCATCTTCCGCACCCAAAAATATAATTAATAACTCGACGACTTGAATGAGTTCAAGTACAAAAAGTTTGTTGAACTACAGGGAAAATGTTTGCGTCGTCGTACTTTTATGCACCGACACACCCGACCGTTGAGGACCAAGTTGAACTCGCTCGGCGAATTTCACATTCGTTGAGCGACGTGAAAAACATGAAAAGCAAAGGCCAGTCCATGTACGTGAATAGAAAGAAACGGTCAGTCAAGTGGATTCATGATGGCAATGGTGAGTATAGATGTACGTACGTAATGTATTACATGCATTAATAAATAAATTTATGAATTTCACGTGTATCCCCAGACACAGACGCGCAGATACTATGCGATACGTAGATGCATCGATTACACGACATGTTGCAAATATTTATAATCATAATCGATCGTTTTACAAAATTTGTTTCAATCATTCAAAATTGCTGTATTACAGGTGTAGAAGATGCAGAAGAATCTTTAACACCTGTTCATAGAGTAAGTGGTGTGTGTTTAAAGTTGCAGTGCGTATATTTATGTACAATGTGTGTATATTACGTATACATATGTAGCTTCACGCCGAATTTTACGCCGAAATAACGAATGCCATTTTGATAGATGTATTAATCCGAATCACACGCGTAATTAACACGCTTTCTATCGATATCAATTTGAATAATTTGAAATACGTGGAATGTCGATCCCCTTTGCAGATTTAAGCGTGAATTAAACGTTCCTCTTTAAATTTTTTTAAATAATCGATACTAAAAACACAAAGAATAAACTTGTCGATCGACATAACTTTGTTAGACTTAATCGTGAGTTAATCTTTGGATTAAAGTTTTTTATCCTTTTATTCAGATAATCCTAGAAAAAAAAAAGAGGTTTGTATTCAGTTTGAAGAATGCTTAGTTGTAAATTCAGTTTCATACATTTATCTATAATTGAAGCTAGTAATAATAATAAACACATATGTATGTATGTATGTGTGTATAACCAAGGGATAAAGATCAGTTAGATTTTAGATTCTGCGTTTTTTTTTTTCTCATTAACAAATTGTAATAACGTGCATATACATATGTAACACAATTATATGTCGGTTTCATATTCACTGACGTACGTCTTTGTGTTTTATCGAAAACATTGTTTCAACAGGATAAGATTCCTCTGAAGTGCATGATGAATCCACATGGGAAAGTGTTGGATATACACGGTATTCAAGCTCTGGGGGAAGAAGTAAATATCGAACCGATGCCCAAGAATCCGGAGAAACTGTTCGACATTGTTCGTGATTTAAACAATCAAAGAGGCCGTGGTAATGACGAGTCTACACGTGTTTTTATCTTTTACGCATGTTTACCGACAGTTTCGAACATTGTTACTTGCGAAAGCAGGTACTTGTAGAACTCAAAAGAGAACTAGCTAGTTCTCAAGGAAATATTCCACGACTCGGGAGAAATATCGATCGTTGCTTCCGATAAGTAAAAAAATTAAATCATCGATTCGATTTATAGGCGCTGAGATATTTGCGAAACGCAGGAAAAGATCGGAAAAGTGGGTCGTGGACAAGGATCAACAGCCACAGAGTACACCAGGTACACCTGGTATGCCAAAAACGCCAACGTATCCGGGGAAATCGGTAAGGTTTTTACCTCGATAGAGATACAATACAGCAGGCAACGTTGTTATTCAACAATTAAAATGATGATTTCGTTAAAAATTAAAAGTTTAACGAAATTGATATATATTTCCTCGATGTGTCCGATACAGGAAATGAATGGCAGTTCAAAGTTTCCTCCAACTCCACCTTCTCTCACGCGTATCGTACCCGAGCCGGCTGTTGAAAAATCATTTTACAATCCTTTCACCGTAGATTTGTCTCTGAACGATACAAATCCATCTGCAACAGGTACGTGCATAATTTAAAATTTCGAACAAAGCCGAATCTTCTTCTTTATCGTACGTAGTCCTACGTAATCTAGTTGGCACGTATCGAATTTGGCAGCGCTCCACGCTATATTCTCGTTTGTTCGAATTGTTTTCACATCGCGACCAAACGCCTAATAATTTCCAAGGCTTCAAAGTCGAGCTAAACCACTTCATATTTATTTCTGGTTGATCTGTGAACACTCTATCTATTCTGCTCTTCAAATCTGTTTTCACTTTCGCGTTCATACATAGACACGTGCATACGTACGTGTATCACCCTACGGATAAAATTACGAAACAACCAGCTCGAAAAGCGTCAACGCGCTTACTGCACATGTGTATGCTATGCGTAAATACAAGTCGACGTGTTAGTAGAGACGTTAGAGAGCCTGTTTAAGACTCGTCTAATTGTAAGTCCAGGGTTCAACAACCCAGAAGGCTTCGATTGGCAAGCGACATCGATGTTATTCAATCGATGCGAGACCACTCTCGGCGCGTCGCATTCTTTTTCTTCCTGTATATCTAAAATAAACGACTGTCTGTACAAACTGTTGTTGCCAATCGATATCTTTGCATCGATCTCCGAGTTAATTATACCATGCGAGATAAACCGGCATTCAATTCAATTGTCGCGTTGAAACTAGCATTTCACACTTTCCAAATATACATATATACATATATACATATATACATATATACATATATACATATATACATATATTCGTATGTACGTCGCCTATGACAATTTTACGCGCGCGGCAATGTTGAAACAAAATTACAATACGTACAAAGTTGTACAAGTACAATTGTAAATTTTAATAACACCACCACCGCTGATTACTACCTGATCCATCTTTTCATCTTTGTAACTTCATTCGTTTCGCTTGAAGTTAAAAAATAACGTTGAACGAAAAAATGAACATGTTGGAAGTATAATATAAGTTTTTAAATAATATTAATTATTATTGTTTATTATTATTGTTGTTTATTATTATTACCGAAACCAAATATTTTTCACACTGAAAAATCAAAGAGATCTTTAATCATCAGAATTTCCTGCAAACGTTCCAGGACGAAATCAGTATCGATGCAACGGTAGAGAGTGCAACCATCCGACCGAGGTGAAAAAAATTTATCTGAGAGAAGTAGCCGTTGGTACTGATAACGATTTGCCTCTTGACAAATCTCGATCGTCGATCGTTGAGAAATCACGTCGAATCACGTTCGAACCCGATATCGAACGGCATAACAGCTATCACGGCCGAAATAATAACATTAATGAGAATATGGCAACGTCGATCATTACTAACAGACGCAGTCACAATTATAACAAAGCTTCGCTGAATAAATCGAATTTTTCTAATGCACAGCACGCTACTAACAAAGAGATTAAAAATTATGCGAAAGAACAACGGGTCGCAGAGTGCTCGGCAAAGAGCGCGATTAACGACCAGGGCAAGTTTCTAAATAATCGGCAAGATATTGACAACGAAGAGAACGACGACTACACACCGATTCCAGTCAAACAGTTGATACAAGAATTCGAGAAAACGTGCAGACCCGTTCTGCAGTACAAACAATTCAGTCCAAAGGTTATTCCAATTATGCAACAATCACCTCTCGACAATGACATATCGCGTTTCTTTGCGGAAAGGCAAAATTCCGTCAACAAGTACAACGCCGAGGAAGAGCACAGGAGGTGAGACGAAATGAAGTTTTGTCGCGCCATTCACCAGATAATAAATTCCTAGACGTTTTATTATATTAAATGAAAAATTATTCCCGTGTCCGGTCGTAAATCGATAAATGTCAATCCGTCTACTTTCCCTTTTCTGTTGTATTTTTTTCCCTTGTATTTTTTTTCGTCTAGAGCGTTGCACACACGTTTTCTTCGTCGTCCTTGCAACGGCCCATTTTGAAACAAGAATTTTTCATTCCACGTTAATTGAATCACATACGTAAAAAAAAAGTGAACACCTACATATGTAGGAAAGAAATTTCAATTTTTCTTGCAATTTGATTCGATATCCCAATTAGACTTTGGCAATTTTTATCAATCAAACTGCATACATAAATCTTACATGTCTTACGCAGACAGAAGATAGATGGAGAATTTCATTTCTCGAACACACAAGTTTACAATAATTTTACAAGTTGTTAGGATCGCAATATCATTTCGATATTGATTGCAATACAGAATGACCGAACGACAAAGATACGAGGAACTGATGAAACTACAAGATCGCTGTAACAATGGTTACGTGTCCACCGATGATACGGAATACACGACTGACGGAACCGACGATTCCGAGATGAACGATTACAGCGAGGAAATAATCTACCGGGAGAAGTCGGAATCGTCGAGCATAATGAACGGCGATCAAGACTATTCGTCGATTTATCGCGAGGAATGTTCCAGCCGACGTCGATCCGTTACTTCCGAGGAACTCTTGGACAACTTTTGCAACGACAACGACAACGACAACGACAACGACAACGACAACGGCCACGGCAATGGCAAATTCGCGAATACAGAGTCGGACGTGCCCGTGGAAGCCAAGTCGTTGTTACTCTCGATGATAGCTTCCCAAGAAGATATCTTGCAAACTATTAAGCATTTGCGTAACACGCCTGTTTTGGACAACCTGTTGCATGGTGTAAATTCGCCGGACTGTAAATTCACTGTCGACGTCTCGACGTGTCCGGATGTAGGCAAGTTAACTCGCATGCGCTTCCATTGTTTCTATTTCTATTTCTATTTCTATTTCTATTTCTATTTTTCCTTCTCTTTAATTTCTTAACACTCGACACGTCGTTAATTACTACGTTAATTAATCTTCTCATTACTTAATCTTCCGATCGCGATGAAGATTTTAAACGATGCACTCTCTGTCAGGCCTGCGCAGCAACGACAATTAATCCTTGCGAACAGCCATATTTTTGAAAGAAAATTCAATACAATTCATCCGTTTGCTTTGCAAATATTTTCTCTTCGTAATTTTCACTTTCGTTACTAAGAAACAGTTTAAGCGCATCTTTCAAACACAACGGTTCAAACGTTCATCTTTATTCTTTCACATCTTGGATTATCGCGAGAGAAAGATACATTTGTGAAAATGTATCGATTCCTCTTTAGAAGATATACGGATTAATTGCTTTTCCTTTTCTTTCAATATATTTTGAATGCTTTTTTTTTTTTTCTAAATTTTACCCACCTCTGTGGATAGATTGCATCATTCAACAAGTTATTCGTGAAACAGTAAACAAAGAAGAAAAAGATTCCTTTATAAATTTACGTATATGCGTATATACTTATATATTCGGCATTTGTATCGGTCGTCTGTACGTTTGGTACAAAGTATGTCATGTATGAAAGGAAATGTATCATTTTCAAAAATTCATTAAAGTCGTTTATTCTTGCAGGTAAAAAGCTTTATGAAAGTAACACCTATGCAGGACCAAAACTCGCTAGTGTCAACAACCTAACTAACTACAATACAGCACCTCGAGGATGGGATCAGTCGTTGACTTATTATCGGCCGGTTAAATTTGAGAAACCGCAAGAGATTGTTTATTCTGACTTTTAGTTAAACGATTTTAATAGTTGCTGCATCGATATACTCGGGTACGTATCAACATTTTACGATTCAACTCGTAATTCTCAATTCCAATCTCAATTTAGACTTGAAACAATCGTCTTTTATTTTTCAGAAAGCCACAAACAGGCCATTGCAGAACTCAGTTTCTCAAATTTCGCATTAGAGATTATCTGAATATTCTTTTCTCTTATTTATAATGTGAAGATGTTGTTTTTTTCTTTTCTCACCCCCCTCCCCCCTCTCTCTCTCTTTGCTTCCTTTGGTTTTGTTAAATTGAAAACGATTGCCGTAAAGGATGAAGAAGATTTCGCATTAAAAAAATTGTGCGATACATACGTGATATATACGTCTTATATATATGTCCATATACATATACATGTATATTATACGTGTGTATACATGCATATTTTGAAGCTTCGTTTTGCTTGATGTAACTATACACGTATATCTCTCTCTCGTTATTCTAAATATTGATCCTTATTTATGCCTCTCAGCAGTGTTGTTGCATTTTACTTTATAACCTAAACCTCAATAAATGTTGCTTTCATAACAATAACGTGTATTTTGAATTTGTATGTAATTCGTTCATCCAGCACTTTGCCGCATAATAAATTGTAATTTTGAAAAAACATTCAAACACGTACTTGTCCACTTTGTCGATCGATTTCTAATTTTCAGTAATCGAACGTCGTAATAAAATTATTTTATACAACATACTCTGGATTTTAATGAAATATCGTTGTCTCTCTCTCAAAAAAAAAAAAAAAGAGATTATTTACAAAGAGAACAGCTTGATTATTTCAATGTAAGTTTTATGTAAGATGCGTGAATACGTACTTACGTATGTACATATATAAGTATAATATCGTAAGTGATCTAAACACGTACCACATGGTATTTTATTTTTGTGCTCTATAGCAAATTATCTCTAGCACGTTCTCTATCAATTAGACGTCAGTTGCAATAAACGGAGGACAAACTTTTTCGAGTTTTAGTGAGTTTTATAAAAAGAGATAAGCTACGATTACCGGCCACAACAAGAATTAATTAAAAATATAGTTATTTAAAAAATTGAAAAATTCATATCGAATACATACTTGTAGTATAATTCCTTGATTGTTTCGATATTGATCTTTTTTTTTTTAGTGTACGCAACATAATCTAATTATCTTTGGTTGACTTGTTTATCATTACATTAAATGTAAGTTATATAACAATGTGATACGTGTATGCGATGTGGCTCGATAATTTTGAAAGTGAGCACTTGGAAAAAATATTGAGATATCAATTTTAATTAAACGTATGAAAATATTCTGTTTGTCATGTCTTTTGCTATCAAACGTGTCAAGTATCTACCATTTCCCTCGTAGTAAATAGTAATCTACGATTTTACTTCTTTAATCGACAAGCAAACACTTGCTTACTTGCGTGAACCAAGACGATGTAAAATTGAAATATCTAGCAATAGATACTAAATGAACTATGTTGTATTTAGGAGTACAATTAAAAGCATCATAATTTATTAGACGCTTTATGAGAACAATTTATACTGAAAAACGTATCGTTTCATATTTGCACGCTCGTGTAGCAGAAAAGCGACATATTTTGTACATGTGTCCAAATTAGATAACCACTTACAAAGGTATTTATACCTTCGTAATAGTAGACGAGGTTTCTTCATTCGTTATTTAAACTTTAAAGACTGACAACAAGTCTTGTTACAGTTCATTCATTTTTGCTATTACAACAAATGACAGCATCGTAAGTTCTTAACGTAACGTAACGTAACGTAACGTAACAAAAAAATACACAGTATGTAAATGAATTTCGACCCTTGAACGAATTCCGATCTCCGACTGAAAACTTACTTATCGCTACGGTCGCTAATGCAAACGTGAAACGTGATAATTGTTGAAAAATTTGGAAAGCTCGTTGAATGAATATTTACGTCGAAGGTTCGCTAGCGGCGAACTATGTATCTTGTATCTTGGACGCAATCGCAACAGCAGCAGCATGAACAAACGGTATAAGTAGAAGAAGAGCGAGTGATTATTTCATTAGTTGTGACTGAAAGCATCTAGTGTGCGATGCGTCGACCATGTCGTTGCTCGAGTTTTTGCTTACGCTGATTTCGCTCTTGCCATTGTTGTTCGTCTACAGCGATGCAGCTGTAATTCCGGAAGCAGTTGGTAAAACCTGCGGTTACAAGGTATTGAACGCACGAATGAATTCTTTGTTAATTACTTTAAGATTCTTTTTTTTTTTTTTTTTTTTTTTTTTTCAAATCGATAGAATAATAACCCCGTTCGGCTTTCTAATTTTTCTTTTCAAACGTCAAGTATAAATTGCATATGTATAATTTCAACATGCATAGATGAACGTACAAGTACTTTAAATATGTACTGAAATTACCTAATATAACAAGTGTAAACTTGCGCGATACACGCAAATGTGCGTGCTTTTGAATACATTTGTCGATCGTCGATAGTTTTTGAAGTAGTAAGAAAGTTAAAGTTTCTATATATTCTTGCACAAGACACGTTAACAAAATAATAACCTATGGATTCACGTACATTGTAGGCATGTCCCATAGCGGATCCAAAGAAACTGAATATTCATTTGGTTGCCCATACTCACGATGACGTTGGTTGGTTGAAAACGGTCGACCAATATTACTTTGGAAGTAAGTATACCTGTGAAAAAGTTGAAGTACCATCGTATCAGAATTTATATATTTATGATGTATAAATTAGATTAGTTAAATGTGACATTCAGATTTTTTGACTTTTCATTTATTTTTTTTTTTTTTGAAACGAAGGTCGGCCAAGAATTCAAAAAGCAGGGGTACAGTATATTCTAGATAGCGTTATTCAAGCGTTGCTGGCTGATCCTGAAAGAAAGTAATTACGTTACCACATTTTTCACTAATTTACTAATTTGTCAAACTATTTCATCCAACGATGAAACAAATAACAGTCCCTTCACGCGTACGTCCCTCTACACTTACGTACGTGTATAATTTATGCTCGTTTAATCAGATTTATTTACGTGGAAACTGCTTTCTTGTGGAAATGGTGGCTGCGTCAAAACGAAAAGACGAAAAAAGACGTGCGAAATTTAATCAATCAAGGCAGATTGGAAATAATCGGCGGCGGATGGAGCATGAACGACGAGGCAGTCACTCACTATCATTCCCTCGTGGATCAATACACTTGGGGTTTCAGGTAAAAGAAAAAAGAAAAAAAAAAAAAAAATAGAAATTTTGGATTATATTTAAATAAAGACGAATATTCATTTTTATTCGTACTGCTATTCAATATTTGAATAAAAACATTGACAACACGATGATAGCCCACAGCAATGTTGGTATTTCGAACGTCTGATATCACTCTATACAACTATAAAACAAATATCAAGTATATAACAACTCGATGTTATATTCGTTTATGACATGAACGCAGCATGTTAAAATCTAAGTATTTTCAACGTACATGCACACGTGTAAACTGTTCTGAAATGCGACGAGGAGTTTGCTTACTTTCATTTTATATACCCATTCCCGTGTATGTGGTTCGAGTGTTATTTTCGAAATTAAAGTTGGAGTTTTCCTAATCTGTCTAGACGTCTTAACGATACCTTTGGAAGTTGTGCCAGGCCGCGTATAGGATGGCAAATAGATCCTTTCGGCCATTCGAGGGAACAAGCGTCTTTATTCGCGCAATTAGGATTCGACGGAATGTTCTTGGCTCGCCTCGATTATCAAGATAAGAATAAAAGGCTCAGGGACAAATCGATGGAATTCATTTGGAGAGCGAGTCCAAACCTAGGTAATGACCAGAAAGCATTTAAAAGTTTTAAAAAACACAATTTCAGCGATCTACGATAGAGTACGTAGAGAGAGAGAGAGAGAGAGAGAAATACATGCAATAGTAGTTGTGTAGTGTGTAACATCTGTGAATAGTTGTTCGAAAATACAATGAAATGGAACGTAGACACACTTTGTGTTGTTGTAGGATCACGTGCAAACTTGTTCTCGGTTGTACTGTATAACAATTATAGCCCACCCCCTGGTTTTTGTTACGATCTCTTGTGCAATGACGAGCCGATAAACGATGATATTAATAGCCCGGATTATAACGTTAAAGAGAGGGTACGTATATAATTTTTAACAATTTCCCATCCTTTTCCGAGTCGTGACTCTTTCTTTATTAGGTATAATTTTTTAGCTTCGTCTGCTTAAACCTATTAAAAGGTTTAACAGGCTAAAATTACCATTACCATGCTACTATAATAATATTTACATCGACACTAGTCTATTGTTACTTGATCCGATAATTTAATTATTGTATGTCGAGCACATTTTTATTATTCACGTTTTGTCGAGAATAACAAAGAACTTATTTCTTTCGGGGCTTTGAGTTATTTTCGCCTGATACCGATATCTTTCGTAAAGCAGATCGACACATTTTTACAATACGTGACTGACCAAGCTAAAGTGTATCGTACAAACAACGTTATATTAACAATGGGCGGAGATTTCACTTATCAACAAGCGGAAATATACTTCGCCAATATGGACAAGCTAATAAGGTATCTTTCTATTTCGTTAAATCATTAGTTTCGTCTCGTGCGAAAACATGTAGGTACCATGTATATATGTCCACATACGAAGAGTATACAGGAGGAAAAGGAAGGGAAAGGTCTTATAATCGTAACGATATCGAATGTCTTGTAAAAATCGAATTGGTAAGTAAAATGCATTGCGGTCATTGACAGGTCGAACAGTTAGTGCATTATGCGCATCTTCAAGCAACGTCCTACAAGACTAATAACGTTATCTTTACAATGGGCGAAGACTTTAACTATCAACACGCTGAAATGTGGTTCAGTAATTTGGACAGATTGATCAGGTAAAAAACGTACTCGATAATGTTCGAAATGCTTGGCTCGAACATTTATACTTATAACGCATAACGAGTATGTATGTATGTATGTATGTATGTATGTATGTATGTATGTATGTATGTATGTAAGTGAGTATACAGATTACCTATACAGGGGTTTATTTATTTTGAAAAAGTGAATAAATGGTCAGAGATAAACATAAAAATATTTAACATCTAATAGTCATCACAACGAAATTATTCATTAATTTGAATTATTCATAATACCTATAGGATTATTAAGGATTACCTCAAATAGATTCTCTATCGAAAATCACTTGCATTTAACAACTACGACTTTGAAATAATTTGCAATACATGTACTATAGTCTTACACGTACTATTTCGTACTGTTTCACAGGTACGTGAAGAAAGAAAAAAGTTCCGAAGTAAATATATTTTACTCGACACCATCGTGTTACTTGAAAGCAGTAAACGATGCAAAACTTCAATGGACGACGAAAGATGATGACTTCTTTCCTTACGCGAGTGATCCACACTCATATTGGACTGGTTACTTCTCCTCCAGACCAACGATCAAATTCTTCGAAAGAATGGGAAACAATCTTTTGCAAGTAAAATTCTATTTTCCAAGTTTCAAAACCTAACGCCAATATTAAACATCGAACATTTTCATTTTTTCTATTATTTAAAATTAAGTATCAAGTATAACATAATCTGATTATAATTTATTACATTCTGATCAAGCCAATTGAAGAAATTGAATCTAACAAGAGTCAAATATTAATAATATTATCATTGTTATCATTATATTTGATAGAAATTTAAATTGAAAGTTAACCAAAGTCCAAAGTACAACTTTGACACAAAATTCGAAATTATATCAAAGTATCATTAACAAACAAGAAATGGACGAATGGACTTGATGATTATTTCACATAACGCAAAATGCAGTGAACATGATGCAGTGAACAAACGTGCAAATATTTTTCTGTTTTAGGTATCGAAACAATTAGCCACAGTGACACACTTGGAGGGTTACGAGAAGGAGTTGGAATATTTCAGAGAAGCAATGGGTGTAATGCAACATCATGATGCCGTTACCGGAACTGAAAAACAATTAGTTGCAGACGACTACGCACGTATATTGTATGCTGGCATGCAACAAGGCACAAACGTCTCTTTTCAGGCTCTAAGGTAAGATACATTCTTTCGATTTTATATCATAATTTTGTACGTTGTACGTATTTTTTAGACTATTGTCCATAATTTTGTCGGATTAATCATTTTCTTGGTAATATCAGATCAGCCATCAGTAGCTAGTACCTAGTTTTGTATCGATTTTAGTTCAGTTTTTTTTTTTTTTTTTCCTTACAAATACCTTGCTACGAGATTGTCGAATCGCTATTCCTTTCAGCTTAATTTTCCATAGAATAACATCCTACATGTACCTATCCTTCAGTCCTGATTAAATTCATTTAGAATTTAGCTTGTTGTTTCTTTTTTCTCAGAAAATGGAGATCAAGTGGAAACTCAGAGTTTGCATCAGAGAATATGTACACGTGCATGCAATTGAACATTAGTATGTGCTTGTACACAGAAGACGAAAATTTTGTACTAGCAATTTACAATCCCTTGAGCCAGAAAGTGGTGTCACCCATTCGCGTTCCCGTTCAACAGGGCAAATACAGCGTTGTTGATCTTACAGGTATGTATCGTTTAACGATTATTAATAACATCGTGATATCCATCTTTCGTCAGGCTTTTAATCAATTTTTCTTTCTTTCTTTCTTTCTTTCTTTCTTTCTTTGTTTTACTTGCAATTAATACAAGTAATAATGATGAATTCTTCATTGCCAATTCATCGATTATATTCCACATTGCTAATTAATTTACACATACTAGATAATCTAAATGATACACAGCGATATTATCGTCTTCTTTTAATTATTATTTTAAACTATTCAATTAATTAAATATTAATTGTTATTTAATTTTCTTTCAAGATGGAAATGAAATTGCTTCGCAAATAGTTCCCATTCCTGAGTCTGTACAAAAAATACCAGGAAGGAGAGGTAATGCAACTGACGAACTTGTATTCTTCGCATCGTTGCCACCTCTCGGTTATAAGACATATACCGTCAAAAGAAATTCAAAAAATATAAATCAGCAACCTACTGGAGAAGTTTCCATTGATAATGAGGTATTTACTTACTTACTTACTTACTTACCTACTTATTTATTTATACATATGTTACTTTGTGAGAAGCACATGTCATATCAACCAATGCGAGTCAAAAATCATTTTCGCATATCTCAATTGTTTTATTATTATCATTATAACAATAAACTATGATACTATGATACTGTTTAAGACGTTTAAGAGTTTAAACGTGGTTACTATCATTGCTAATAGATCAAAATTCTATTAACAATGAGTAATTCAGTAATGTGTAATACAATGAATAATTTCTAGAATAATGAATGAACTCTATTCATTGATTAATCAAGAAAGCAATGAATGTTGCATTTGCGAAATAATTGTTAATCAAAGTTGAAACGTGAATGACAGCGAATAATGTTTTCTATTTTTTTTTCTTTAGTTTTACAATGTATCCGTCAATAAGAATGGCCACATTGTGATAAAGTGGAAAAAACAAAATATAGAACTAACTCAATCGTTCCACTATTACGAAGGAATGGAGGGAAATAACGAGGAATTTAAAAACAGATCTTCGGGCGCATACATATTCAGACCTAGAAGCTCGTCTGTTAAAAATTTCATGAAGCCTGGTTCTTACAAAATATACAAAGGTAGTGTGATTCGATAGCAGAGGCGTTAGAAGATTGTCAAATTTGATTCATTTCCTGCCGTTACAGGCCCGCTGGTACAGGAAATTCATCAGTATGTCACTGATTGGGTGTGTCAAGTAGTCCGAATTTATAGTGGAAAGCAATATGTTGAATTCGACTGGCTTGTTGGACCGATACCTGTTAAGTAAGTAGATTGTATAAAGGTATAAAGTGTTAGTTTTTTAGAGATTCAAAATTCTACGTACATACATGTAGAGTTGTATATTTATATTTAGCTTTAAGATACTTGATGAAATCAATATTTAGAAAAATATTGCAATCGGCCAATATCCATCCAGCCTTTCATCACACTCTACCACTACCTTCCTATTACTGCTCTATTCGATCTAATCACTGATTACACAAAAATTTCTGAACAATATGACGATTACTTTTCGCATCGAGTTTCATTTATTCAAAGAGAAATTCTGAAAATTGCCATAAAACGATACAACTATTACATGTATAAAACGTTTGTTTCTTGAATATCATCAACATATTATCTAGCAATCTCAAAAATAGGTAATGCTATTATATATAGTAATAGTGAGATACGATTTTAGGGATAAGATCGGTAAAGAGATTGTAACGAGATATTACAGTAACTTAAATACTTCTGGAGAATTTTATACGGACAGTAACGGCCGTGAAATGTTGAAACGGAAGAGAGATTATCGCCCAACGTGGAACATAGAACTAGAAGAACAAGTATCTGGCAACTATTATCCGATTACCTCGAAAATTTCTTTAAAGGACAACGAAAATCAACTCAAACTTAGTTTACTCACAGATCGAGCAGAAGGTGGAACTAGTATGAGAGATGGAGAAATCGAAATGATGGTAATATTTATTATTTCACGTATTAAGCGATTAGAAAAGTAGAAAATTCCCAATATAATTGTCTAGTGATTATGTAAATATGTGTGTATATGACACGTAATATGAAACAATATACAATATGCATGTTATAATATACATACATATTACATTATATAAAATAACAATAATTTTTAATAATATCTCTAATAAATTATTATTATATATGAAATAATATCTTACGTAATATGTGTGTATATGTGTGTACAGGTTCATAGAAGACTTTTAAAAGATGATGCATTCGGCGTAGGGGAAGCTCTCAATGAATCTGCATTTGGCGAAGGCTTGGTGATCAGAGGTTCCCACTACATCATCGGAGGTAGTTTGAAAAATCTAGACGAACTTGCAGTTGAAGAGAAAACTTTGGCGCGTCAATTGTTACTTCGCCCATGGCCTTTTATTATACCCGTTGAAACAAATTCTTCAAGACCGTACACACCGTACGCATCTGGCTCGCAAGTAACTATCCGTTTTAGATACACTGGTACATGGCACATGGCTCATACGAGAAATAAAAGTTTATTATTACGTTCGTCTCTTCTCCTTTTTAGGGCACAGCTCTTGCTAAAGCATTGCCACCAAATGTTCATATCTTAACTTTGGAACCGTGGAAGAACAACACTGTTTTACTCCGGTTGGAACACATTTTCGAAGTAGGTGAAACTGTGAGTTTGTCAAAGCCCGTGGAAGTTAATATTCAGGTATGTTTCTTTTAAAAATTTTGTTTAGCTTTTACAAAATATCGGTGCAGAAAAATACGATCAATCCATGCATCTACGTTCAATGTGATTCAAAAGTGAATATTTAAAAACTGTTTACTCTTGAAGAACGCGAATTGACGAACAACATCTCGCTCCAATTCAGCGAGAGATCAGATTTTCTTGTAAAATCTCCTTTCAAAGTTTCCTCAAAAGAAAACTTTAAACTCAAACGTTAGTTTGCAACAAAATTCCTCATTTCATTTTTCTCCAAACTAACTTCTGAGCTTAAATCTTAATATTACGCGAATGAGAAATTTAAAATTTCCTTCTTCCGTGCTTAATATATATGCACTAAATGTAATTTTTTTTATTGTTTATATTTATATTGCAAGTGTAAAATTTACCGATTTGTCACAATAGGATCTATTCGCAACTTTTACGATTGTATCTATCAAGGAGACCACGTTGGGTGGCAACCAATGGATTAAGGATACGAACCGTCTAAAATGGGAACCTGAGACGAATGATATTTTCCAAATGGAAGAAAACCTTTCTCATTCTGTAGAAATGAATGGAAATGTGATGAATGTTCTTTTAAAACCAATGGAAATACGAACATTTATCGTTGAAATCGTGCCGCGGCATTTATGACTTGAAAATTAATGATGTATTGGCATTATATGTTGTTAAGAAAATTTCAATTTGTTACGTATGATTTATAATACATAATTGGCATTAACAAAAATGTAATAAATATAAATATGCGATTCTATACCTATGTCTATACCTGTATCTATACCTATTATAACATTTACTTATCTATCTGTCAGACTCGCATTTCTTTAAAGTTACAAGAATTAAAAGAATTTTATAATTAAATTTGTTGTAATATGATTCGTTCTTTTGCTGTAAGTATAACTTTCATTATAATCTGTCAGCGAATGAAATATCAAAAAGGTACATTGCAGTAAAACTTTGTTTAACCAGTTAATGTTGAACCTCATACTATAGCGAGTCTATTATATATAGACTCGCTATAGTATATATTATCTGACATGTTTGGAAGTTCTATTGTATTTATACTTCTACAAAAAAAAAAAAAATAGCATAGTATCTTTGGCTGGATTATGGAATTTTATCGAAAGCAGCGGATCGCATTTAACATTTTTTTATAACAATTAGCTCCGCTTATTTTATTGTTATTATGCACGATCAATTACAAAGCGAAGCTTCGAACATATCAATTTCATTTTTATTCGTTTCTTTAGACTATAATGAATTTCATTTTGTTTTAAATTACGTTCCACCGTGTACGTATCCTATATATATTTTGTACTATCTCAAGTTGAATATCATTTTTTTTTTTTTTTTTTTTTTTTTTGACATAGCATATGAATTTTAACCTTTTAACATGCAAAATTCCAATAATAAAATTTTCGAATAATTTGTTGAACTCTTGGACAATTTCTTTCGAATACTTTCTGCTCTGAGATGACATCTTGGACTAACAAACTAGTATTCATTCATTGACGCTAAATTACATTCGAAATAAGAATAATTTGGATTTAATTTCTTATCAAAGTAGGTGCTACATATTTTTATACATATGTACGTATATATGTATTATATATGTGATATTGTACTCTCGGAAAATTCAGCCACAATTGTCGGTAAATTCGGATCATTTTCGACCCAATCATGTTATTCAACTTGGCTTTTCCAGCAAACATAAAAGTACTTTTGGTTGTTGATGCACAGAAATTATTAGCAGAATTAAGTACTCATACACATATGTATGTACATATATGTATGTAGTCAAAATTTTCATTGTTTTCCCAAGACTTTGTCAACCAGATGATTAGTGTCTCTACATATTTTCATATATACTTACAACATATATATCTGTATATAGATGACTTCAGAAGATGATGCTTGGGCTCAAACTCTTATCACGGTAACGCCAGAAGACAGTGCGACGTTAAGAGAAATTTCGGATACGGTGACAGTGTCGTCAACGCCAGGCATAAACTTGGCCCTTGATCCTGATGATATTGTATTTAGACAAACGTTTATCCATAGACAATTTGTAGATTCTAAAGAAACAGGAGATGAAGAACCGAAAGCACTAGAAAAACCAATAGACGAAATCGAACGCAAGTCCAAAGAGGATGCAGAAAATCAAACGTACTTACAAGGAATACCAGTTGTACGCATTTCTATTGAATATCGAGACGAAGCCTCGCAAACAATGTACATGAGCACGCCCTGTCCTCCTTTAAAATACTTTAGGGATATAATGAGTATGTCTGTCCTCTACTATTCTTTGTTTTTCGTTATCTTTGATGCAAGATACTGTAGTTTCTTGATCCAAGCAATACATATAACAAAGTTTAATAAGACTACCGAAGGAATAAACAATTGTTTTTCTTATATGTATATTTACTAAAAAAATATCCCTCTTGTATATGTATGATAAAAAAAATAAGTTAAAATTGTACTATTCAAAATAAATTAATATAAAAATGTAATATTTTCATAGTCATATTGTACATCACAGAAAAGTAAATATTTATTCATACCGATAAAATAAAAAGTTTCGCCTCTATTTTGGCTCTAATTGTTAAAATATTGTAAGCCAAGTCATTGTGTCTATGTGTATGTAGCGTCAATGAAGGAAGGTCCTATGCCCGAGTTGAAGAGAAGCAATGCGACAGCAACTATTATTAGCTTCTATCCCGATACACCGCAAAATGTTGTGATGGAACAATTGTCCGTGGACATCGCAGACGAAGAACGCGAAGAATTCCAATCCAAACTCAACACCGAAGAAGAAACAGAAATGGAAGTTACTGAGATTTTGCATTTTTTACTAGCGCGTGCATTCTGGATAGACGATCCGACTAGTCAAGCGCAACCAGAAATTTCTGACAAAGCGACACAGACTTACATTAAATATAATAATCGTACGAAAATCTTGGTCATAGATAGTCAAGTGCAAACAGATTTGAGTTGCGAACCGAAACAATCTAACACGATGCTTCTAACAGATTATTGGGAAACAAAGAAAATGATCTTACGTTATTTGGAAGATTGTATTTCTACAGGAGTCGACGTTAGAATTATAATAGACGATATAATAGACGAAATTGTGAATAAATGTGCCGAAATAGTTAGATATCCCATGAAGGAGCAAATTGTACAAACTGTAGCTACGTACAAAGTAGACCACGAGAAAGAGGAAGATGTGTTGAGAAAACTGAAACTCGATATAATCGTAGATCCTTTAGAATCATCAATTATTGTCATACCTTTGATGGACAGTCTGTTAGAAATGACTTGCGATGTTATACACAAAAATGCCGTTGAAACCATTAAAATCATTTTAGATGGAATTATTCAACGAACAATGACTATTATTGCAAAACTTGTACAACTACAGAAGCAAGCACAGCGTTAGTATCAAATTTATTGTTAGAATGTCTCGTTATTATCATTAAATTGCAATTGCAAGCGTTATATTTATTTTTTTTTTTTTTTTACGCATAAGTACTACACACATTGATTGTTATAAAATATACTTTCACAGAGAAATGTTTTATTTCAATAACGATTTCAATACTAGTCATAATTAAACAATTAACTTTGTTTAATCTTAATTTAATCGTGTAACTCATTGCTAATTATAATATATTGTTACATTTCAGGTAAATCGATAGATCAATTATTGGCTAAGAGAAAGAAAAAAATTCTTGAATTAATGTCAAAGAAAGAAACTGAAACAATTTCTACGCAGACAAGTATAGCTGCTATTTCTGAAGTCAAAAAAATCAAAAAGTCCAAGGAAGTTCTATGTTCCGTCTGTAGAAGGCAATCAATGTGCCAATGGTGTTTAAACGATCAAGAACTTCACATTCCACAAGAGGAAATTAAGATACTTCGTACACAAGATATACTGCTAGCATATAAACCCTGTTATATTGTCACTAAAGTAACTGAAAAGGACGAAAATCTTCAACTACCTTGCCTTTCACAGATAAAGTTCAAACCTCCCGCACAATCTTCTTTAAAAGAAGACTCAGTTGGGGAATCTCGTCATACAATTTGTGTATTCGTACAACCTGACAAAAAAATCGAACCTCAAGGTATAAATATTACTAAATATTTCGCACAATATGTATATCTGTTTCTGTCTATATTTATATAAGTATTATTTTTTTAGAATCTTTTAATGAATGGTCTTACATAACAGATGCTACGATAATGAAATCATGTTCAATCAAAGGTGAAGAATTATAATTTTATTTTAAATATGAAGAAGCATGTTCGATATAAATAAGAAAATTAATTATTACTGAATATTAAATTTTGTACGTACTTTACAGAATCCGTGAGTAGTTCGAGTCAGACAATCACAACTTTGTTAGATCAACCAATTTGTCCAGCTTCTTCCAGCTATCATAGTACATTAACTTCCCAAGCGGCGAACGCCTTACAAATATTGAAAAATACATTTTGTACTCGAGAAAACTGTATTATTTCCTCGCAGCAGACTATGAAGCATTTTTCGTTTGCGGAAAATGAAGACGTGTATACCAAATCGACTTGTAGTCTATGTTTAAGTACAAATAACATAAGTAATAAAATAAATGAACAAAAAATCTCTTGCATGCAACAAACCTGTAAAACTTTTTCAAAACTACATTTGCCCAATACAAATACTTCTAGCAACTGTACTTCTTCTCGCATTCCTATGAAATCAGATGGAGATGGTTTTAAAATTATTCCTATATACCTCTCTCAAGAGGTACTTGTACCTAATAATTGCAAGAATTAACATAATGAGTATTTCCATGAATGCATTTATATTACAACAATTAATACATTTTTAAAATGTTTATTTATTCTTAACATATTTTTAAAATATCATCAGATCAATCTATATGCATTATAATACGCTTATATACTGCATCACTATATGTATAGTATAATATGTACATTCAGTAAATACATAATAAACCTTCCTAAAGATAATTATACAAAGTACATGTCGTTTCTTACTTCGTGTATGATTTTTATATTAATTATAACGAAACATGTATGAAAAAATATTTGTAATACTTCTCCAAATTTCGCTCTGTAGAGTACAAATAAATTAAATATGAGAATACATTATTACTCGTGCAACATTTCTTTGTATTAAATCATATCCCTCTTTATATTAGAATTAAGATGATAAATTATTAATTATCTTATATACAATTGCATATTTTACATTTCTGATTTTACAAATATAAACAATTGTACATTATTATTAAGATATCTTGTATAAAGTAAGCATTAAGTATACATTTGATTTGGCACGAAGTTAAGAAATGCAATCCGAGTATTTCTCACGTTTTAAAGTGTAAAAGCATATATTAAATAAACTATATATATATATGCAGTGAAAGCTCGCGATTTGAAATCACAAACTAGATAGAATTTAGAGACGATATATATATATATATAAAGAACTCGACACGGTGGTGTTTTAAAATCTCTTTTTAAGATTTACGCTGCACTCATTTATTTGTAAGTACCAATTCATGTATTAAGTCATTGAATAAATAAAACGAATAAATAAATAAAACGATTTTGGAAAAAAGTAGCAATAAACTAAAATAAAAAAAAAAACGAAAAAAAACTGACTTAAAAGAGGGATCGAGAAATTGGTAAATAAATTACAACTGACTATAGAAATGTAGAAAAATAATTGTGAATAAATTGTTTGTCTAGCTTCAAAAAACATCCGCAATATTCATACCACTTATAAAATAATTGGATGTTTTTAATATTAAATAAATAAATTTAGCATTAACTTAAAAAAAATGCAATTTTTTAATTATAACGATACTTTAGATTCATCGTCTTCTTGTTCTGGATGTGATTTTGTAGCGTGTATTGAATTCATTTGCGTTTCTTCATCAGAAATCGTTGATACTTTCTGTTGATTTAAATCATTCCATGGCTGAGTGTCTGCTGAACCAAAAAACCAAAAAAGTACTGTTGCAGATGTAAATACTGCTGTTGAAATCCAAAACATAATACGCCATTCTTCTACTCCATTCTGTAAGATAAAAATAGTAAATCAGTAACTACGAAATACTAAATTAAATTCAGAAATTTCCTTAACTAGTTTCTCGATTGTAATAAAACAATAAAAATTTTATATTTAATTTATCCATACTCTCTCATTTGTTAGAGCACCAATAATTGGTGGAATAATAAATCCAGGAAAACTGCCAAAAGTATTCATGATTCCATATAAGGAACCAGCGTAATTTGGTGCAAGATCTTGATGATTTTGTAAACTGGTTTGACATGCAGCACCATTAAAAGTTAATGCTACTATTAACATAATGATGGCAGCTGTTGCATCGCAACCAGCATATGTCATTACAATTAAAGCTAATGCAGGGCCCATATGTGCTGTCAAAGAAGAAATTAATATTTTATTTATCGTTAACAAATAAAATTCATTAAAATTAAACAAATAATTCATTTAAATTTATTTACAGAAAAGCATAAATATTTTTCTAATCCAATTTAAAGTAAGAATATTTTTCCTTCGAACATAATCACCAGCTGCAGCAAACAATATTCCAGCACCAAGTCTTGCTATATAAGGCAATCCTGTAATTGATCCTCCCTGGATACAATTCAATAAATGTTAGTTTGATTTCTACAAACTAATTTGAATTAAACTAATACATAAACAAGACAGTACCGATTTCATATTAAAACCAAGAACTTCTAACGTATATTTTGGTCCGTTTGTAGCAATGAAATATATACCCCACATGTTTGCAAAATGAGCCCACAATAGAACTATAAATGGTACTGATGTAGCAACAGCTCTCACTGGCAATTTCACCTACAGTTTTATGTTAATATTTAATAATAATTAATCACTAATATTATATATAATGTCTGAATACAATAACTTCTCAACTTAAAGTTTCAAAATTTGCTTACTTTTTGTTTAGAAACAGTAGTACCTATTTGTTCTTTAATATAATCTTTTTCATTTTTTGTGATTCCTGGATGAGTATCAGGGGTATCGTATATAAGGAAAATCCATAAAATATAAAAAATCAGTATAAGACCACTAGTAACATAATATGCAGCTTTCCAACCAAAAGCGCTAATTATTTGACCACATAATGTAAATGTGACCACAGTTCCAAAAGGTCCACCTAAAACCAATGTCTTGGTACATTCTATTTGATTTCTTAATTTTTTTCATTTTCATTTAAATACCTTGCATTGTCCACACAAATATACCCTTCTCACTAGGAGGAACCCATCTTGCTATCATTGCATGGAGAGCAGGGTAAATAGCTGCCTATAAATTTTGCTCATTAATAAAAATTTACTTCAATTACATTATTAAGCGTAATTAATAATAACAAACATTTTTTATGGATTAGTGAAACATATGAAGGGTATGTTACCTAAAATAGCTTTGCTATAATAAAATTTCATAAAAATATTTCCTATAAAAATTTTGAACATTTCGATTTAATATAGTTTAATTATATTAAATTTAGATTTAATTTAATTTTACGTGATGAAAATCATGAATATGAGTGTGCAAATTTTTTCATTGTACATTGTATACTGAACCTTATAAAATAATATATAGAATCGTAGCAAACATTTTTATGAAATTTCGAATGATAAAGTTATTCTTACAATAAAAATTTTCTGTACACTTTTATAAAACTATCTTCTGTAGTAAAAAGTTCAGTGAAAGAATAATAATTTATAAGAGATAAATAATTTAGTTCGAGTAAATAATTTAGTAAATAAAAGTTCAAAATGAAGGAATAATAATTTGTAAGCGATAAATAATTTAGTAAGTAACTTACTCCAAAGAAGCCCATCAAAAAACGAAGTGCAAACACTACACCATAATGAATATCAGAAGCCCAAGGCATCAAAAGGTTTAATATTGCAGGTATTAGTGTTGCAAATCTATATTAGAAGATTACATAAAAAATATATATATATATATGAAAAAAAACAATCTATAAAATTCAATGTAAAATAAGGAATTTGTAACTGAAAAATACTTACGCTACTACTTTAGAACCTCCATATTTTTCAGCCAAAAGACCAGCAGGCACACTTGCTGGAAGAACTCCGTAAAAATAGCCAGAGAGCAGAAAACCTTGTACATGTTGATTCCATTCAAATCGTTCACCGTACTGTAAGACGGAAATATTATATTAATTTAACTTAATAGTGGACAGTAAATTAATGAATTAACGTTATATTATCATATTTGTTACAAATCTTTACAGTATTAGATCAATATTTCTATAAAAAATCGTTAATTTTTCATGAAACTATTATTGAAAATATTATTGAATATGATTCAATAAGTGTTATTAAATATGAAGATATTATTGAATATGATCCAATAAAGGAAATTACATGTATTGAAGATGATGATTAGCGGTTGCTTAGATAAGATGTGTGTTGTGATTTCAATGTTAAGAAGAATATTTAATGATGGAAGAGAAAAAAATTTTTTTATATTTAAAACTCTGATAATAACATAATATGTACTATATCGTCTTTCTCTTAACAATTAGTCATATAACATGTGATAGAGACTTGTTTTAACTATGGAGTATGCTAAATACTTATTCTATATACACTTCTAGTACAAATGTGTGTTATACAATTAAAAAAAGAAAAAAAAAACAAATCTTACATCTTTAAGTACAGCAGGTTTATGACTAGTACTATTGCCATTAGTAGCGATGGCAGAACATGCTGGACCACTTATTCCATCTTTACTAGTTGTATTTGTCATAGCAACAATAATAATGGACAAATTTGTACGAATCATATATGAAAACATACAAGCTAAAAACATCATTGCACCTAGAATTGCTCTCCTTGGTATTCTCTCTGAAATATATGTATATACATTTTATTTGATAAGATAAATGTAAAATTTAGAAGATCTGATTCAAATTATTTGCATTATAGCAATATTTGCTATAATCAAACAAATATAAATATATCTTAATTAATAATTAACGAGTTTTAATTTTACCCAAACTGTAGCGAGATTTTAAATTTAAATATATTAATCAGATATGTATGTTGTGATCGACTTTGAATATAGTATAATTATTATATAGTGCATATAAAAATTAAATACGCAATTGATGACAAAATATCATGAAACCTGACATTTCCTAACAACCATCCTAACTATATAATGATATTTACTTGTTTTTAATTCTTACGCTTGTTCCAAACGTTCCAAAAGTATTTTACTTTAGAAAGTACTAAATCGATTAAGTTTATCATTAAATCTTCATAATATTAAAGATAAAGATAATCATACAAAAAACTACTCTTTTTTTGTATGTGAGATCTCGTTGTTCGAAATCATTTGAAATAATGAAATAATAATAAAATAATGTTATCATTAGCATATTTCAGTTAATATTAGAAATTTGAAGAAAAATGACCTTGTGGATAAAAATATTTCATCGCAATATTCATCGTACAAAATCAAACAACTTCTTCCTGTGGGTGTCTAACGCTGCCAAAAATAACAAAAATGCAAAGAACAACGGTAATAATAAATAACAAGCGAAACAAAAATGGTTTAAATATGTTAAAAAACAATAAATTATTTAATTAGAATTTTAGTCATACATATATATTATACATAGAGAATGTTTTCGATTTCGATGGTACAACCGAAAAGTGGACGATTCTAAAATTCTTAAAAAAGCTCCAGAAAATTGAGTTTAAAAAGCGTTATCTAGTATATTTAAATTTGTCTAATTCTAAACTAAATGATAAAAGTGTAGTAATTGGTGGAAAATTATTCTGCCTTGTTCGTTATTCATGAATGTTATTCATTACCGCGAAAGTAAGTGAACATTCAGCGAATATTTAAAGAATCGATTTTAAACATGAAAGGCAACGAGAAAAATTCATAAAAATGCCGATTCAGGCTTATTTCTCGAGTTATATAGCATAAATGAAGATAAAGAATATAATTTAATGTTAGAAATATACTGAAACTACCATAGGTCAATGAGTCAGTTCAGGCAAATCTTTCTATTTTAGTCATTCTTCATTTTTTTTCACTCTGAGATAAATGAGCGAAATTTTACGTAATCGTGATCTACGCCAAGTATAGGCACATACATATTTAGCGTAAAACAATATATACTATTTACAACTTGAAAAATAAGGCTTAAACAACATAAATTTTCTTTATTGCCTTCATGTCTGAACTACTTGCTTTGGAATATCTTGTATATTACAACATGCTCATAAATACAATTGACATATATACGTATGTATATTGCCAATACAATACGCGCAAATTGCCAATCTATGTATACATATCTGTACAAACAGCATCCGAATCGAGAAGTTGACCTCAGTATTTAACTTTTAATAAATTAATAGTTCTTCTTGACGCGCATATGCATTTGTCCTAAATAACCGTATGAACCAAACCGAACTGTATGAAACCAAAAGAATCTAAAAAATGAAACGAAATAAACTTTTTCTTTAATATGAGGAAAAAATTCTAAATATCAGATATTTTTGAATCCACTATTAATTCATTTGTAAGATGAAAATCTAATCAGAAAAATTAAACACGAATGAAGATAAAGAATATTCGTAAATATTCTGCCGGACCGTTATTATTCTTACAAATCAAATTAGGTCATCATAGAGGAATTCTCAGCTGGTTCTTTGCATATTTTACAATATTTAAAGAAAATGTAATAAAAGCATTAAAATGAATTTCGAAATAATTAAAAAGAAGTGAACTTTTTTTTACATCGCATAAGAAATAAATCATGTTTTTTTTTATTTGAATATAAAAACTAGAACATTCAATATTTGTTCATATAAATTTTTATTAATTGTTCGCTATGTAAATACGAACATATAATAGTATAATCTTATTAATAAAAAATTAAATTAGAGAAGGAGAAAATAACAAGAAATACAAGCAAACATTTATAATGCTCAAAAATATATATCTAACAAGCAAGCATTTAAACTCGAAATCGAGTTCAAAAAAAAAAAGATTTTGAAATACTTACCATTGAACTTCCGGAAGAGAGCCATTTTGCTTGCACTGCGTGTCACAATTGCTCGCTGGTATATATAAACAGCAGATCGATGTCTAGTTTTATAAATTATAAATGGTATTTACGTTTTAAATTGACGACTGTTAATCGTAATCAATAATGCAAGAAACGTTGGAGTCAGGTGATATCTTCAGGATTTAATCAACTCTGTAAACTATTGGTTTATTTTGCATTACGTCATGCTCTCGCAAATGTTGGATAATATAACGATATTGTTTTAGACTCTGCTTGGTTGAATTCGAAATCATATATCTTCACGAGGACGCTGAAAAAAGACGCGAAGACTATTACACCACATCCGAATTCTATATTTAATCCACCATAATAGAATTAGACTTATGTAATATCACATGTTGCATATATAAGAAGTAGAGTTTTAAAAAAACAAGCACAAACAATACATTCCTAAAACATTGTCCAATACGTATATCTGTAATTTGTTTATCAAAATCAAGGTTGTGAAATTAATTTGCAATGCGTATTCATGCACTTAATTCTATATTACCGATAAAATTAATACCACTTGAATTCACTAAACGACAAACGCATACATATACGTATCTGTATCGTATTTGCATCGTGTGTGTGCACACACTGTATGCGTATGCACACAAATCAAACAAATGTAAAATTTACGAATACTGCAAAGAAAAAAAAAGAATAAGAATAATATACAAAAGTGAAATTTGGCATTAAACACTTTTAATTAAAATTAATTAAAATGGTTTAATCTATTCGCGTTATTGCAACACCGAATCACATGAAATTATGCTTGTCTTCCGTAAAAATTTCGTTTCTTGCAATAAACAAAATTAAACAAAATATAAATTGTTAACTTTCACGTTATTACATAATGTATTAATATACTTTGATAAATTAAAAAATTGAAAACACAATTGGTTAAATTTAAAAAGATGGAATACAACTTGTTAAGATATTTACCATTAATCACGTTTATTCGGTAAGGTTTTTCTCTTGAAAATAAATAAAATCATATTTTAATTTCAAACTAAATTAAATTTTTAATATTCGTTATTAAAAGTATGATTTTGTACATGTGTTGAACTGTACTCGAAGTAAAATAAAAATTTTAACATTTCGATACGTTAAAATTAATATGTGAAAAAATTCACTTAATACATTCAAATAACAGTTAATACTATAAATTATTGAATAAATAAACAAACAAATTATTGATTAAATAGTTGTACTTACATTAACTGCACATATTTATGACAACCGTTTCATTTATTGCATGATGCACAACGTGAGACTAACCTATTTCACTCTCATCTTTTTCAAAAACATTGCAAAACAAACAATAACATCCCGCCAATTTGTCGATCAATATTCGCTCAAAGCTACGTTATCCTTTGTCAATACGAGTATTCACATTAAAATAAAAAGATATTTTTCATTTAACCTATTTGCATATACATGTAACAAACTTTATGTAAAATACAAACGTAATATTTATTTTATCTTTCAAATATCTTTAGATCACAATAAAATGCAACACTGTAATCCTCCTAACATGCAAATTCTTATACATACGCCATGACGAACGTGACTATGACTCTGACTGAAAGTTAGTCACTGAACGACGCGGCACTATCTTTTTTTAGTCTCCAATTCGCGCTTCTTTCTCCCCACCACAATCACCTGTTGAATATGTGTGTGTATATACTTGTATATACTATGTGTATAGTTGAATAAATACGATTCAGTCAGACATAATAATGGACAAGGATTTTGGTTCTAATTCCATTGCTTGATTGGAATTTTATATTATTTGTTTTACATATTTTGTACGTGTATAATAATTAAAATAATAATTAAATATTGTGTTTTTTAAATTATAAAGTTATTTTATAAATTGTAAATATTTACTGTACTTTAATAATATTTTTATTTTAACTAAATTCATATTTATATAAATGAAAGCATATAAATATAATAATGAGACTTTTTAAGACTATTAATATTTAGAAAATAGTGTATATGTAAACATTTGGAGTAATTGTATGCGTTTTAATTTGGCATTATTTTAATATGTGGTTCCGCTATCTTTGTAAATTGATTTATAAATCAACAAAGATTAAAATTAGTTGATATTTTAATAATTTTAAAATATAGAAGAACAATATAATTAGTTAATATTTAACAATTAAATGATCTAACTTTAAAATTAAATTTTTAGCAAAGCATACATTTACAAAGCAAAATTTAGTATTGAGATTAATGTATACTTTTATTATGTATTGTATAATCTTGTATGTACCGAAATTGTACAAAGAATAAAAATTTGTTGCATAAAATCGGAAACAAAATATTTATATTATCTTGATATTTGTTAAGTATTTAACATGTTTACATGTATGTATATTAATTGTAATTTTATTCAAATGCTATTGGAAGACTGCTGTATTTATTAAATACTTTAGTTAAAAATTTTACACATTATCAAAACTGGCAATTACTAATGACATATTCATTGCACGAACTTACATTTGTGTTAATACAAATTATGACAATTTGTATAAATTATAAAAAGCTAAAAAATTAATAATTAATATACATAATAAGACATTTAAACCACCACTAATTTGAATTTATAAGCTATATGTACATATATACGTATTATATGGAAATAGAGTAGAGAAAACTTTTTCAAGTTGTGTAATAATAGTGTAAAAATATATTTGTGTAAGTTAAATTTATTATTCATAACAAACAATACCAATTTCAATAGAAAAGCTCTGATCTGAGTTTCCAATATCTCTCAAAGCCACATCTATTATAGGCAATCTTACAGGTTTATCAGTTTGATATGAAATTGTTGTCTTGCCCCATTCCCCGTTGTATACCTATAAAAAATTTTGATATGAATGCTATGATATGTTGAAAATTTTTCAAGGTTAACAAATTTTCATCTGAATAATACTTACTTTGCATTCATCAATTATCATGTCATATCTTAACCGTTGATTTCCACGTGGCATTAATTCCACATCATTCCAAGTTAAGAATTTCATACCTTTTCTGTATGTCTTTTGTTCAGAATCAAAATAGCCTATGCTATTTTTGCAATGATATGTCATATTTTGGTATGCACGTGTTGACAGAAGTTGTAAGAAACCAATTTGATTACTGTCTGCTTTATACGTAATCTATATATTATGGATATTAAAAATATATAAGATAGTAAGGCAACTTATCACATTGAAGATGTATATGTAATATCAATAAAAAACGTTACCTTCATTCCATCTTCTATTTCGCTTAACCAAGTTTCTGGTTGATCAGTAATATACTTGATTTCTGGGGAACGTACTGGACTCGGTAATAAACATGTTGCACGTTTCTTAGCATCACAATACACTAAAATTGCATCTCTTGCATCACCTTCATTGGGATCCACCCAATATTCTCCTAGAGTAAAAAAGTATTTTTAATAAATAAATCTATACTAAAACAATAAATTACTGAAACATATGATTGTGTTAAACATTATTTTTCAACTTGTGAACTGACCAGAGAGTTTATCCGGATAAGCAGTATAAAGGTCTCTACAGGTTTTGGCCGGTGAATTTTTTTTACCATCTGGCCTTATAAATTTCTGAAATGATGATTTCAATTGTTTGTATGCCTTCAAAATGAGTTCCTTCCTTTCTTCTTCTGTCATATCTTGACTAAAAATTCTAGGTGGTTCATCACCAACTAATGGATCTGGTCCTTTAGTTTGACCTTGTCCTATTCGCATAATAATAATATGATTGATTCTATTCTGTTGAACAATATTTCACAATTTTTACTTTTATATTTACTTGGAAAACAGGTAAATATAAAAGTAATTAAGAAAATGATAATAATCACCTAAAAGGGCAGCTAAAGAAGCAGCATCATATCCCAAACCAAGTTCACCGGGTGGACCTGGAGGTCCTGGAGGACCAGGAGGACCAGGTGGACCATGACGACCTTCTTCACCTGGAGGACCTTTTGGTCCTGGATTACCAGTTAGTCCAATTATTCCAGGATTACCATCTCGTCCAGGACTACCTCTAAGTCCAGGTTCACCATCTTTGCCAGGTAATCCAGGAAATCCTGGTATTCCTTTCTCTCCTGGCAACCCAGTAGGCCCAGGTAGGCCTGGCAAACCAGTAAATCCTCTATGACCTTTCACACCTTTTTGGCCTTCTTCTCCACGGTCACCTTTAGGGCCTTCTAATCCTATCGGTCCTGGTTTTCCTCTAGGTCCCTAATTATAAAAATAGTATTATTTTATTTTTTAATTTAAATTATTTTAAAATAATAAAACTAACTTGTTGCCCTTCTACGCCTTGTGGTCCTGTTTCGCCTTTTGGTCCTCTTTCTCCAGCTGGTCCTGGAGGACCTGCTTGACCATGTGATCCCTAGTTATCAAAGTGTTCATAACTTATATAATTTTCACATTATTACTTTATATTTAATATTTAACTTTCATTGCATATTCGGTAAATTATTAAGATTTATAAAAAGTACAATTGTCACATCTTACAGGTAAACCAGGAGGACCGGGCAATCCTGTCTGTCCTACCGCTCCTGGTGGTCCTTTATCTCCAAGACGACCTGCTATTCCAGGTGGTCCAGGTTTACCAGTTGGACCTTCTGCTCCAATTTCTCCTGGTGGTCCAGGTGGTCCAATTGGTCCAATTTGTCCAGGTGGTCCAGGTGGACCTTCTGTTCCAGGTTTCCCAGGTATGCCAGTTTCACCCTGTTATATTATATTAAGTATAAATTAATTGTAATTAATAACTTTACTGAAAATAGATATATGTATATGGATTTTACAAAACAAAAAAGTTGGTTAAACTTACAGGCGCTCCTCGTACTCCTTTACTACCTATTGGTCCAAAAGGACCCGGTAAACCAGGTAATCCTCTTTCACCAGGAGAACCTTGAGGACCTTGAGGTCCAGGAGCACCCGGTAGTCCTTGAGAACCACTCTCTCCTTTGTTTCCATCTGCACCAGGTGAACCTGGACTTCCAATGGGTCCAGGACTCCCAGGTCGTCCTGCTTCTCCAATATTACCTTTACTACCTGGTAGTCCAGGTGAACCTGGTGGTCCTGGTGCACCTGATGGACCCTATAATAATTTTAAATTCTATATTGTATAATTTGTCTGCAACGAAATATATACCGTACATTTGTAAATATATAAATATTCTCTTGTTTATAATGATTTAAGTAATATTTCCTAAATAATATAATGAAACGTACTGTTGCACCAATGATTCCCGGTACTCCTGGTGGTCCCATAATACCAGGCTCTCCTCTAATACCTGGTTCACCTCGTACTCCTTTAGCTCCCGTCAAACCAATTAGACCTTGTGGCCCAGTTTCACCTGGACTACCTAAATAATTTATGTTCGAAGCGTATATTTATATGTAATTTAAAACTTGGTATATTTTTTTCTTTATCTAATACGTATTATTTAGTACCAGGTGAACCAGGATTTCCTTGATCTCCTTTTAGACCTGGATAACCACGGTCGCCCTTTAATCCTGGTAAACCAATAAGTCCTTGTTGTCCTGGAAAGCCTTGCAATCCTTGTAATCCTTGGGGTCCTCTCTCTCCTGGATTACCAGAAGCACCTACTTCTCCTGGAGGTCCAGGTAAACCAGGATCACCTCGTTCCGCTGGTTCACCTGGTGGACCTGGCGGGCCAATTTGACCTTGCGGTCCACGTTCTCCAATCCGCCCTACAATAAAATATAATATAATAAAATAGATACATGCTTTTTTAAAATAATAAATAGACATTTTCTTTAATGTACAACCTGGAGGCCCTTCAGGACCAGGTGGTCCACTAGATCCTCTTTCTCCTTTTGGACCCGATTCTCCTGGAATTCCCCGTAAACCAGGCAGTCCCAATAATCCAGGTGGTCCTGAAATTCCTTTATCTCCTTTTTCTCCAGGTAATCCCTGAAATATAATCAAATATTATATTAAAAATTGCAGATTTTTTAATGTAAAAAGTAGTTTGTGTTAAATAAATTTAAAAAGATAAGCACATGAAAAAGTCTAGAAATGCTTACAGGAGGTCCATCTAATCCTTGTACACCTGGTTCTCCTCTTGGTCCTGTTAATCCTGATGCTCCTGGTATACCTCTTTCACCGGGAAATCCTCGTTCACCTCTATTTCCAGGTGCACCTGATGGGCCGGGTGGTCCTTGAACACCTGGTTCTCCATCTTTTCCTGGTGTTCCTGGATTACCAGTAGCACCTGGAAAACCCTAATCACATCAAATTATGTGACAAAATTATATTGCTCCTTTTATACATTCGTTTTTACATTCATTCAACAACTACATATGTTTTATACATTAAATAGTAATTAGTTATAGAATTATTATTCATTATTAAAAAATTTTGATTGTAAAAAGAATGGAAAAAATGCAACAGAACAATAAGGTTAATGTAATAAAATTTTCTTATTACTTTTTCTTTTCCATTATATGTATGTTTATCATTACAATCGCAGCAGCATAATGTCCATTCAAAATTGAAAACTTCATCTTATGCCTCCGATTAATAAATTATTCAATCAAGTATAATATAGATTGTAGATTTTAATATTTTTCAGGATATACCTGAAAACCTCTAGGACCTGGAGACCCTGGAGCTCCCCGTTCCCCATCTGTTCCTGATGGTCCAGGTGAACCTTGAGGACCTGGGGCTCCTTCTTTTCCTGTATCACCTCTAGGACCAGGTGGTCCAGGATTTCCTGGTTCACCAGCTTTTCCAGTCTCGCCCTTTTAGAAATACATTTTCCATAAAAATAACGCTAAAATTTCACATATTTGATATTTAAAACACCAGAAATATCAACATCATCAATACCGGATATCCCTTTTCTCCTGGAAGACCTATTGGTCCAGGCAAACCTTGTAATCCAGGTGGGCCTTGTTCACCTGGTTTTCCATCAGCACCTTGAATTCCTCGTTCTCCTGGATTTCCTAGTTTCCCAGGAGCACCAGGGCGACCCATTAATCCACGGGTACCCTGTAATATTATATCTCAAGTTTTCTTTCTTTATAAAATTGTAAATTCTTTGTAAAATTGATAATTTTAAAGTTATTGATAAGCTGCTTTTCTCTCTTTCTCATTTCTTTCTATGTAATTTAAAATACTTGTACATTTTTTATAATATCTTATATATCTAAATTATTATGAGTAAACTGCAGATTTTTGTGCAATTTTGAAGGAAAGATTGCTTCAAAGATTAAAAGTTTTTTAACACATTCATTGCCAGTATGATTAATCGGTCACATCGGTAATAATAGTGAAGTGCCGAGAGAACCCATTAGTCACAAGCGAGCGAACGAATTCAATGTCACAGTCTACAGTCGACACCAAATGTGCACACAGTCAAAACAGTTGGCAATAAATGTGTTGAAATATGAGTATCTATAAATAGAAAGTTTGTAATAATAACACATGTAACTCAAACGTGCACCATTAAAAAAAAATATTATACAACTTGATTATTCAAAAAAATAAATTTCATATTAAACTCTCTATGACTGTACAAAAGAATTTGAAATGTAATTTTATTCTTTGTTCATTATTATTTAACTTTCCAGGCAAAAATATTTGATGAAATTATGTTATATATATTTTCCTGTACTATTGAGGTAAATATAAGTAGAAACCTGTAAACCCGGTGGTCCTGGACGACCAAGATCTCCTGCAGCTCCTTTTAGTCCCATTGGTCCAGTTGGTCCACGATCTCCAGATTGACCTAATGACAATAATATGAAGTATTCCTTTATTGAGATATAATAACATTAACATTAATTATTATTGCATCATTGTGTAAACAATTTTAAAATATAAAATTTCAAATAAAATCCTAGAAAACCACACATTTATTTCTAATAATAAGAAACAATGTTGATTTCTAATTTTATCAATGATTTTAACAAATTATCGTAATAATTATGACGGCATACCTTTGGGTCCCACGGGACCATCGAGTCCTGGAAGACCCGGTGCACCTGATGCTCCGCGCTCTCCAGTAGGACCGGGGGCACCAATTGGACCGCGCATTCCTCTTTTCCCTCGTTTACCCTCATTTCCAGGAGGTCCAGGTAAACCACGTGGTCCTGGTGTACCTGTATCACCTTTACCTCCACTGTCACCTTTAAATCCTCTTTCACCAGGAAGTCCCTGTATTTTATAATATGATATATATTATATTAATAATTATAATTTTATAACTCCTATTGTAACATATAATGCAATAAAAAAAAAAAAAATGTATACGAGTATAAAAATTTTAAGAAATTCGTAGAGTTAGATAGAATACGAAAGTAATATTTACAGGCATGCCCTTCGTCCCCGGAATGCCAGGATTGCCAGGTATTCCAGGTTGTCCTCGAGTTCCAGGAAAACCAGGAGCACCAACTAAACCAGGTGCTCCCATATTTCCTTTTTCTCCAGGTATTCCATCTTTTCCCTGGGGTCCCTGTGGTCCTGATTCACCAGGTTGTCCAGGACGACCGGTTTCTCCTATGAAAAGAAATATATCATATTTTTTATTAACTATATAGGGCTTAAAACACATAGAATAATAAAACATGAACGATAGTAAACTGGGAAAGTTACATGTATGAAAATTAATGCGGGAGATATATTCAAAGTTAAAATATATTGTTTCATACATTTAGTATATTTCTCTTGTTTGTAATTCTTCTTTAATTTAACATGAAGTCCAGCGAAAAATTATTGGAATGTATATCCGTTAGAAGTAAAGGACAGTAGAGTATACGACATTTTTATGTAAAAACAGCTAAAAATTCGTTGAATATTTCAAATTACTCATAGTAATTAATGAGTATCTAAGATAAACGAAAATATTTACCTCGAGGGCCTTGTATGCCTTGACTTCCTTTTGGTCCTTGTGCTCCTTGATCTCCTTTTGCACCTGGATTACCTGGAAAGCCAGGAGAACCTGGTTTACCTAGTGCACCCTATGTAAAATAAAGTCATATGTTTATTACTATTATAGTCGAATTTATATTTGTATTTTATCTTTTTTATTTGACTTACAGGTTGCCCAGGAGGTCCAACAATTCCATCCACACCTCTAATTCCCGGAGGTCCTGGAGGACCTTCTCTACCTCTTTCACCGCGTGGACCTGCAGGGCCCTATTTAATTATTAAATATTTAATGAATTATATATTAGAAGACTGAAATTTATAAATATTAATTTCATTGATTGCTTGTCGGTATCTAATAAACTATAAGAAATAAATAATAAATAAACTTTATGAAGCACTCTGACTCAAACAACACATATTAGAAATGAACAACCGCAGATCCTAACGAAAAATCCTAATCCTTGCCAATTGCAAAAGAAAAAAATATCAATAATTTAAAATGATGACAAAGGTGTTCAATAGTTTTATAAATTTATTGTTGTTACAAACAGGTTGGAATTTCTTGAAAATTTACAAAATGTATGAAATTTCAAATTTTATTTCAAGGAGAAAGAATGACGGAACATTTATGTTAATAAGACTGACCAGTACTTACCATCGGACCTATAGGTCCCATCAGGCCAGGTGCACCCATGGACCCTTTCTCGCCAGATACACCTTGTTCTCCTTTTGCGCCATCCAATCCTGGAAAACCTCGATGTCCTTTCACACCAGGAAGACCAGGCATTCCTGGCAAGCCTCTAGGACCGGCTGGACCAACTGATCCTGGAGGACCAGGTTCTCCGTCTTCGCCGATGTTACCCTAACAATAACATATACCTTTATGTTCCCGATATTACTTTATCCATTAGTTTGATTAATCTCGCTAAATAGCACAGGAGTTTATTAATAAATATAGCATAGCATGGTGAGTCGTGTAATATTTAAACTTTTGAACGCTTTCTTATTTTTAACGATAGTAGAAATCATTTAAGACAAAACAAAAACAAGAGATCTTTGCAATTGATAAACATCAATCTTAATAAAAGTTTTGAGGGTGATAATTTTATGAACATTACAAATTTAATTAATACATACATCCTTTCCAGGTAAACCGGATAATCCTCTGGGACCTGGCGTTCCCGGAGGACCTGAAGGTCCAGGTTCACCAGATTCTCCTCGCATTCCTTGAAAACCTTGCGGCCCAGGTGGTCCAGGTGGGCCTATTTCGCGTTGAAAAATGTCACATGAATAATTAGCAATAACAATAAGAAATAATTACTAAAGCAAGCATAATTACCTGGTGGACCACGTGGTCCAATAGGACCAGTTTGCATTTGTAAATAAGCTTCAGGGCCATATAAAGGAGCTGCTGCTCCCGTTGGTCCTTTATCTTGATTTGCTTGAGACAAAGCCAACTGTTGATAGTACATTGATACCTGTTGATATCAATTTATTAGCAGAAAAAGTGTTTACAGTACTAATTACAATGTATAATTTATACCGTGCATTTAATCGAACGCACAAGATAGTAATTTAATATGTCAATTGATGAATGTTAAATGAACGTCACGTAATTAAATAGTAAATTTTAAATAGAAAATGAATATCAATGTCTACCCACATCAGGTATAGGTCCTGGTGGTCCTGGAGGCCCTGGAATTCCCGGAAATCCAGGCTCACCTGGAAATCCAGCATCTCCCGGACGACCTATATCTCCAGGTCGGCCAGGTTCACCCTAATTTATAAAAATAACGTAAGTCATTTTAACTTTTCATAATAATTTTATGATAAAAAAAATACACGTGTTCTTAATGATATTAGCTGCAAATATAATATATATACATATATATGCGTGTTTTTGTTAAAACATGTTAAAACAAAAAATACTTACCCTAGGTCCAGGAACAGCAACCGCACTAATCATATTACTTTCGCCGGGAGTAATTTCCGTCGGTGACTAGCAATATAAATCAATTTAATTTTATTATTATACATATCTATAGTTCTCCATGTGGTTTGAATTTCATTTTCAATACTTACTGCACGATTTCTTTCTGGCGTTGTTTGCATCTCATCTGGCAATACACCAACTACGACATTTTAAGTAAATCAGTGTTTAAAAAAATATTAGATTTACATGATTACTTTAAATTCAATTATGTCATAATAATAAAATGATAAAACAGGATAATAATTTGTTATTGATACATAATATTTAGTTGTGAATTTACATTTGATCAATTATACAAAAGTATCAATTACCTTGATTAAAATTTCGAATTGTCGTTTGCGCTGGTATATCTGTAGACAATCCAGACCTGTAGTACTCTCCCGATAATCCCCTGCCTTAAGATAATATAAATAACGTTAATCAATTCATTTCTAACATTAGTTAATATTTTTGTAATAAATAATATATATATATATATATATAAAATCTATCGTTAATATTAATTTGTTACAAACATATCCAATTTCATTTTATCACTATCCATTTTAGACAGTTCCCTATTTTTTTATGAAAATTCAATCATATGTGACATTTTTCAAATTTATTTTTTACAAATATATTCTAATATAATATTTAAGATTCCTTAAAGGTATTGTACATACTTGCAGTGTTAACGCCAGATGTAACAAGTGGTGACGATGTGGTTGTAGTTGTAGTTTCTAAATACACAAATATATTGTTAAAATAGCTTAATAAATTAACGTAGTTAAATATTAAATGAAAATTACAAAATTTCAACGTTTAAGTATAATAATTCTCCAGCCTTGTTTTTATTATAATAATTTTTATAAAATCGTATTCTAAAGTTCGAGAGTTGTATTTTAAGGACCACATTCTTACCTTCAAGCTTATTGTTATATACCCTTATAATACATGATCAAATGTATAAATGACATTTTAAAACGTTTAACATTCATATTTACATAACAGTTCAAAATTCTTTTGTAATTCATTAAACTTTAATTTAATATTAAAACGTTCCCTTTAACGTAGAATAAATAAAATCATGAAAATATTAAGTATGAAATATTCAATCTATGATATACCGTATGAGATAATACTACCGGAATACACGTTGAAATGCGTGTCATTTAATAGACTACGGTAAAAACTTTAATTGTTAATTTTTATTAATTAGCACAATTGATTAATTGCATTACGCAAAGCGCTAAAACAAGCATTCGGTCCAAAGCTTCCGCTGTTATTAATATATACTTCCTTCAATTGCACCGTAACTAATATCTATAGCAACTTCTTACAATAACAGAGGGCTGGTATGTTATTTTACAAAAATGTATGTATTCATGAATGTTGAAAATAGCATAAAAATGATCGTCGTTGGTAAATATCATTTTGCACATACTATATTGTGCAAACTATAAAAAATATGTTATATGTTGCAAAAGAATTGAAATTGAAACAACAAGATTATGTAATTATTAAGTTTGTAAGAAATTTCAAAATATTTATCATAATATTTGAGAAAGATGCTAAAATCTTCTTTTCTATGATTTGAATTTTGTTATATATAAATTATATATTATCAATGCCACAAATATTGAATCTGCTTATCAGATTTTAGGATTTTTTAGGATTATGATAATCGGCTAGTTTATATAAAAGAACAACCAAGTCATTGATAAAGAATAAAGAATTACACAAATCCGACATCAAACAATTAAACGTCATAATATCAGAACTTGTATTATTAATTTAATAAAAAAAAAAAATCACGTAGAAAATAAAATTATTTTACAATTAATATATTACTACAGAAATAGTTATATTTGATTGCATTTTTTAAAATAAATTTTTCACCATTGTTCTAGACTCGAAATATACATTTTCTGATTTAGACTTAAAGATTGCTTGAAAAGCTGCTAGAAAAACAATATATTACTTGAAATCAATTTTTTAAGATTCTAGTATACACTCCAATTCGCAATTCAAATTTATCTACATAAATATAATACATGCTATAAAAAATAAACGAAACAAATGTAACTGTAATATTCACCATTTTTGTCATCGTAGTCATCATAACTCTCGTAATAATCGTAATCGTAATCACCGTTTGCAGATTGTTGAGCTTGCAGCGGTTTAGAGCGTTGTTTCCTGAGTTTGATCCGTACGGAATGAACCTGCAGCAAAAGAAGCTGAGCCACGACAAACGCCGCGGTTATCTGTAGGGCTTTCAGCCCCATGAGCAGCTACTAGCTGCGACAGTCGATAGCCAATAATCTGATCCTACTAGAGCCAACGCGTCTTCGTTCGAGAAGCTGAGGACAACTAAACTTACGACAACTGGCGTATCATCTATTTAGCAGATGCTTTGTAACCGTAAGGGGAGGTCATCATCCTCCGTTTTACGATCTACATGTAGTCCTCCCCACTGTCTTACTTGTTGTTAGTTTGATCTCATCCCTTCTCTTTGATCCCTTTCCTTCGATATCATTTTTCTCTGCTGTCTTCTGGCATTTTTCGTTGAAAAACTCATTCTTCTTCCTTCTATATCCAAGCTAGCACATAGGGATGAAACGTTGTCGCGCAGAATATAACATAATTAGGTTTGTTAAATCGATTGTTAAATTTGCATACACATATCCATTCGAATGAAAAAGTTTTTGGTAACTTTTGAATAACTTCAATCATATGAAAGATATGATTCTTTTTATTTTCAAAATCATTACCCAGTGAAATTACCCAGTTATTTTTTCGATTATATTATCCCTCATTTCATCTTATTTATTTATTACATATACATGTAACTCTAATATCGTTACCTAAAGATTTTTGACTTCTGTATTTTTTATTTTTCTGATAAAAAATATTATTTTTAGTTTATCTTAACTTTTAGATTTAGCAAATATAAATTTACATACAATTTATGTATTTGAATAGAGTTGCGAAAAGGAATCGCGTGTTGCTCCTTTTGTATCTATTACGTGTCTATTTCACCCTAGATTCGTCTTACGAAATAGAAAGGTCATCACCCTTTACCAAGAAATTGCTTGTGTCTTTTATTACGATGATCGAGAACGCATGCCACTTGTTTATTCTGCTAAACGTACCTACTTTTAATTTCTATATCTATATCTAGTGTTCTTATCACAAAGTCATTTCAATGAAACGTTTCTTAATAAATATACATTATCTTTTAAATAGAGCTTTTTTTCCTAACTCTAAAGATCACACATGTGGTGTAGAAACATAAATTAAGAAAACTACATGACAATTCAATTACCTGTATGGATAGCTTAATTACAATGTTACTTGTTTCAAAAATTGATGTCATGCGTTTAAACATTTTTTAGATATACTATTACATACGTGGGAATATTAATTAAGAGTTCACGTAAATTTAAATATATTATCTAAAATTTTTTTGAACAAACTAGGCAAAAGAATACGATTTTAGAATATGAATATGCAAACAATTGACTGACATATTCCATGATCCTTTAGTTTTTATCGGTTAGGATGCTATAGATCGCGTCATTTCGCGACTTAATAAGTTTATTAAACGACAATCATTATTTTGGCCGCATTCCCGGAGTACGACTTACTTTACAAAGCGTTAACCGTAATAGACTACATTGACCCAAGTCCCAGTATCGTTGTGTCCGACTATAAATCAGAGTTGCCACTATTTCTAGTAGTATAATTGGGCCAGTATGATATGTGTTAGTCAGTGTTGTTTTTATAATTTTATACAATGAAGATTCGTGATAATCCTTACGGTGTTGATTTTATCAACATCGAGTAACTTTATTAAGCATCTTTAAATCAAGTTCGTTAAGACAAATTATCTGTATAAGGTTTTTTATGATATAAATTCATTTTTAAATAAGTTAAATAAATTAACTAAAAAATAAAATTTTACTTTATATGAGAAATCTATTTTGATACAAGCATAAAAATTACGAGAAAATAATTCATAAGCATGTATGAAAAAAAAAGTCAAAAAATATTTAGAGTGAAATATCATTCAAAAATTTATTATAGTCTAAATAAACATTCGAAATAATTTAGAAAATTTCAAACCATAAGTCATTTGTTTCATCGATAGCAGCTACACAAAAATAATGCGTCAAAAGTAGTTTAATGGAAACTACAGACCTCGGAATATTAGGTTGCATCAGTATCATCGTCACTACTATTCGGATTAAATTACACAATGTTACATATATGTGCAGTTCATTTTACGAGAAACAACGAGGTCAATAGAAATAAATAATAATTTTAAACAATTTGAAAAAAAATAAAAACCGTAACTACATACATTTTATTTAATTAAAATGCGTATTGCGAAAATCTAACTATTTAATAAATCAATAATATAGTTGTACCGTGAGTTATGAATATTAAATTCATACACTGAAAACTAAATTCTCAATTTTTCATTTAACAATAATGTTTGCATAAAATAAGAAAATTATTTCTCGTATGATGTGGAATATTCTTTCAATGAAAGCGTATATATTAAACTTTCTGGACATTCTCCAGTAGTCTAGAAATATGAAAAGTTTAATGTACAAAATGTAAATAAACAATTTTAAGCAATCGTATACTTACATCAGAGCAAACTCCAATAAGAGCATCAGCATGTGAGTATAACTGTTGGTTTAAAGATACAATGATAAACTGCATCTCTTCCTTTTTAGAACATATAAATTGCACGACATTTTTTATATTTATGGTATCTAAAGCTGCATCAATTTCATCCAATACACAAAATGGTGCTGGCCTAAAACTATATATTTAATTCCATTCAGAAATTAGTTATTTGTAACGCCAAGAAAATACTTAGAAATAAAATTTAATACAAATAATATTTTTAGGTCATCTTATTATACGAATATATTAATTCGAAATGATTAGATAATTAGAAATATCGTAATAAATTACCTATGAATTGCAAATAAAATAGCTAGTGTAGCGAGTGTTTTTTCTCCCCCAGAGAGATTTGAAAACGACTGATATCGTTTGCCCGGCATTACGCAACTATAATTCAGTCCAGCTAGGTATGGTTCTTCAGGGTTATCCGGTATAAGAGTCGCTTGGGCCGACTGACTTTTTACTAAACACTTTTACAATAATATAAAATAAAAATAAATTAATATTTTATACTTAACAATAGATGTATCATTAGAGCATTATAAAAATATTTATTTACCTTATAAATGGAATCTAATTCTGTAGCAACGTATTCTAAACTACGTGTGAATCTATTATATCTTTCTTGTTTCACTGTTTCAAATTGTTTTTTAATTGCATTCATTTTCTCACGTGCTTCCTGGTATTTAAAATTTGTATCTTTTAATTTCTCAACTGCGAATTCAATTTCTTTGTGTGCCTGTGGAAATAGATTAGAAGACATTACTTCATTAATATTCATTCAAGCAATTTTTACAAACCTTGAAATTTGGATTTTTTACAGATTGCATTTCATTTTGCAATTTTTCAACTTCTTCCATAAGTTTACTTTTCAAATTAATAACTCTTTCATCTGTTCGAGTTCTAATATCCTCAGATAATATTTTGAAATCTATGGGTATAAACATGTCTTGCATATCTGTGTTTGGAGTTGAATCGCTCGTACTAAGTATTTGTACATCTTCAAAATTATTTACGTTACATCCAGAAAGTAGTGGAATAGTAACATTTTCCATCTATTAATACGTAAATATAACTAATTAACTTTTATAGAATCATGCTAAATTTTTATATTAAGTTTGCAAAATATGCTTGAAATAAATTAATAGAAAAACATTTTTAAATATTATGAAAAAATAATTAGTACTATTGTTACTAAAAGGATATCATTCGCAAGACTTAATCTAATTTTCTATAAAACTTGCTTTAAATGAAAAGATAAAGAAATAGAGTTATTGATTTTACATAACTTACAAATATATTTTAGTTCATTTTAGTTAATAAATCATCTAAAAAGTTGTTAATATAAATAATATGAAGATATCTCTATTAAACGTTCTTACAACTTAGGATTATTGATCAAGAATGAAAATTAATTGATATTATTAATACGTGTATCATTCCCAACATTACCTTGCAATTTTTCAAAATAGCATGATATTTTACTTTTTTCTTTTTAATATTTGTTGTAATTACTATAAGTTCTTTTTCAGTATTAATAATTGATTTTGCAATGATTCCGATATTATATCTACATTCATTAACATTTTTCGTCTGCTCATTAACGTTAATTTTTGCTTCATTACATTTACTTCGTAAATTGTTTAATTTGTTCGTTTCATATTCAGTACTCTCTGTACATAAAACTTCATTCTGACGTGCTTGTTCCAATTCATTTTTAACCGTGTTTAAGTCTTTTTCCATCTTTAAAATTATACCTAAAAAAAGGAAACAAACATTTTTATGTAAATAAAAATTTCTCGATAAATAATTCATTTTGATGTTATTAAATTGCATTAGAGTATCAACGTATAAGCAGTAAGTAATAAAATAATATAAACTTAGAATATTTACTTTTCGTATCACGATCCTTTTCAAACTTCAACAAATTTTTAATACGACTATATTGTTCTTCTAATTCTAGTTTTTTCTTTGTTTGCTCTTGATGATATCTGTTATAACAAAAATATAATCCTTAAGTACAAAACATAAAAAACTATATATCTTTGAAACTATTTTAAATTCATAAATGCTATTTACTTTAGGTATCCTTCTTCATATTGACGTATATTTGAAATATTAACTTTTTCACAAAACTTTTTAAAAACAGTATCTTCAATATTCATCATGGATTTTTCGATATTTTGAATATCATGAGCTGTTTTCATCATATCGTTTTTAATCAATGTTATATTATTCTAAAGAATAAAATATTTAAATTATTTACGTAAATAATATTTAATATTATCAGCATATCTTGACGATGAAGGAAAATTTTTATTATTAGTAACAAAATGTAAAAGAGAAAGACACGAAAAATATATAAGAACGAGAGGAAAATACTTACATTTATTAATTTCAATTCGTTTTTAATAATATCTATTTCATTTTGAAAAGTAAGTATCTTATTTTCCTGAAAAATAATTAAAATTAATTGGAGAGAGAGAGAGAGAGAGAGAGAGAGAGCTGAAAATAATTAGTTGAATCTAGTTATCTATATATCTAGTTTGTTAAAAAAAAAAATCACGATAAACACTTGCAGAATCTCTTAAATCAAATCTGCAATAATTTAATTTATTTGTTAAACTTTGAATCTGTACATCTAATGTAATTATTTCAGATTCATTTTGAGAAATTTTCATTTTTTTCCTCAATTCCTCCATTAGCATTATCTGTAAAGGATTAAATAAAATTATATATAAATATATATTTATATCTTTCGCTATGTGAATAGTAAATGGAATGAAAAAGAAAACCTTTTTTGACTTTAATTGGACTAAGTTTTTTTCGTTCCATATTTCAGCTTTCTTTAATAATTCAACCTGCCCTCCAGAAATTATGCCATGCTTCGTATAATAAGTTCCATCTAATGTAACGCACTATAACGACATAAATATTACCGATGTTACAATACGATGTAATACAATCAAGTAAATCAACACATACATATGTATAGTGGATTTGTTATACATATGTATAGTGGACTGTAAGCTTACTAAAATTAAAATTAGGCTTATTAAAATTATATTCATTCTCACATTGATTTTAGTTGGTTCCATTTCATCTGCCAATATGATTGCATCTTCCGACGTTTCACAAACAAGGGTGTTTTTAGTTACGAACAAGATGACATTGTTAATTTCTCTATGTTCAAAGTTAAGTACATCGTACAAAAGTTTTACATTTTTTGGGTTTGTAATTCCGCTAAAGAATTTTAAAAATATCATTTACAGTACTTACACATGTATTGAAGAATTGAATAAATATTTTAAATTTTAAATATTTTAAAATTATTTCATTAAAATTTTTATTGAAATAGAACAACCTGATTTACCGTAGATTTCTGAGAAAGATTTCTACTTATCCTCACCGAAATAACATAATCACAAATTATCAAAAATGAACTAAACAATATAATTAAACCGCCACCGTTTATGTTGATACACAAATTATTGATACCCCGTTCAATTTCAGGATGATAATAACTAATTAACTAATTTTAACTAGTTAATTGTTAAAGTATAGACTATCACTCCAAAAACATTCAGTAAAGTAATCAATAGATTCAAAAATGCGATTTATGTATTAACGAGAAAATGAGAAGAGACTACAAAATAATCCCAAGACAAATAATTGGAGAGTTAGATAAATTTAAATAAAAAATATTAAAATGATATTAATAAATAATATAAGATACGAGATCATCGTTTTGTATGAAATCAATATTTTATAGATAAATATTAAATCAGTACCGTAGGTTTTTCTTTATTGGTTCTACTTTCAAACTCTCCACTGGCAGAAATGTTTCAGTTCCTATTTTTTGTTCCTTTAAATAATTGATACACTGTACTGCTACTTTGTTTGTAGAGACAATGATTGAGTTGCAGTATTTTCCCAATACTTTTGTCATAGCAACATCGTATTTAGGATGAATAGGCTTACACAATTTATATAAACGATCATACTGGAATTTAAAAGATTTAAATACATTTTTTCATAATATGTATAAATTATTATTGTTAATATATGTATATTTTATGAATTTTAATCCATACCACACCAGTAAAAAGATTTTGTAAAATTTTGATTGTTTCTTCGCCTTTAATTAGGCGTGAAGTTGTGAATTTATCTAATTTTGCAGAATCAAGTTGTTCAGAGAGACATTGTAATTCTTGTTGTATAGATTCCACATCCTTTTTTTCTTTAACAATCATGTTCTCTAAATTATATTTTGTATTTATTTTATTTGTTAACATATCCTGATTTTCATCCATACATTGTTGAAGTCTTTTAATACGTCTTTCTGTTTCACCTTTTAAAATACTTTTTTGCTGTAATGTAGCTTCTAACTCATATTTTTTCCTATTTTCGTTATCTAATTTATTTTGGTTCACACTTTGTTCACGTTTAAGAGAAATGGACACCTGTATATTTTCTGAACACTGTGCCCCAGCTGTTTGTTTCAAATGAAAATATTCTTCCACCTTTGAAAACAAATATGTGTATAAATATATGTCAATTGTTTTTTCATGTATTATTCTATAATTATATCATATAATAATAAAGATTAATACAAAATTTTTAACACAAAAATTTTATATTAAATTAAAATTTTATTATTAACATAACATTAATTATACAATTCAGAAAATCAACTGAAAAATAATAAATTTTTATTATTTTATTATAATTAAACAATTAAGACTTTTATATTTCATTCTATAATCTTTCTTATAATACAAAGTGCTTTTCACCAGCTTTAGTGCTTTATAACACATATATCGAAACAGAGTAGACACGCATTCACAGTGAATGTTTGTATGTATTTTTGAGTATTTTTAAATTGTATTAGTATCAATTTACTCAAAAATGAAGTCCTTTATGAAAAAGATATTATTTTATAATTCTAAATTATTTTTTTTATAAACGATTACACTCTTTCATATGAATTCAAATATTATGAAGTATTATGTATAACACATGTGCTATTTAAAAAATGTAAAGCTACTAATTAGATTTTGGCCAAATTAATGTCATGTCTTTGTATAAAAATAGAATACTACATCATATATATGTATTTGCAGAACTATTATTACTTGTATATCATTAAATTGAATACTGCTGCCTTGAGACAATAAATGAGTTGCTATATCTTCTTCGAGCTTAGATTTCATTTGCATTAATTCGTCTTTTCTTTGCATTAATTCTTTTATTGCTTTTAAGTGAGATTTATTCAATTCTCGTGCTTCCGATAGCTTCCGACTAATAGAGTTGAATTTTTGTTCGCAATATGAAACTTTTTCTTTAGCTTCTAACAAATTTGTCTGTTTCATTTTTACACCGTTTTCTAAATTAAAGAGATCCTGTTCGATATTTTCCAAAGTTTCAAGTGCAATTTTTAATTGCCTTTTTCGCTCTTTTAAAACGTCGCTTTCATTGTCTTTATCTGTTTTGTATTTAATCAGTTTCAGTTCTGTAGCCTTCAGAGTAACATGTAAATCTTCAATATCTTTTTGAATATGGAATAATTCGAAGAGATACAATTCTGTTTTTTTACTTAACTAAAAGATAAAAGAAAATATTTAATATATAGGCTTAATTTCTTGTAATGAAATAGCATTTACAATAAAATAGGCCCTTAATTTGCCTCTATGAGACTAAGCCCAAGCAAGATAGGCAAATGGCTGATTAATCCGAGAATATATATCAAATATAGTTTGCAATTTTTTGTATGTAAAATTATTATAATTATTATTATTATCATATATTATTATTTTTATGTGCATAAGTATTATTTTTGCATATTGCATTTAAAAATTAAATCTAAAGGATGTTTTGTTTCATTGCATTAAAAATCTTTTTTATCATAAAGAATATAATACAATATTTTAATTATCTAATTTTTAATGTAATGTGACCGTGAATTTTACGCAGTTTACAGTAAAATACTACTTTTTAAAAAATTATAGATTTATATGAAAAAATTAATATGGAATACACTATGAATGAAATGCTATAGCTCAGTGATAAAGTATTATAATTTTTTTAGCTAAATTCAGAGGAGCAATTAAATTCAACATTTAATAATAAAATATGAAAGCAAACACCTCCGCATATTTATCGCAAATCGCTCCTCTATCTAAACGTTCAAACATTAAAATACTCGGAGAAAAATTTACTTTATATATTAAAATGACGCAATACGAGAAAAATATATCTTGGAATCCGCTATCAGTCAAAGTAATAAACCCACACACGGATCTGTCTTTGACCGGTGCGTTACAGATGTCCCAAAGGCTTATATGTACATAAATATTATTATGTATACATATCGTGAAATATGCGCAACGCCAAATGTGTGCAAATGCAATGTAGCAAAAAACAAACTGATCTCAATTTTAAACCATGCTATCGATATTGTCGCATCATATGTATTATCAATTTGCACACAACCATAATACATATATGTAGTTTTTCATTGTGGTTCGAGTGGTCGAATGGCAATAACTTTATCGCTGTAAGACTGTACATCTTATTTAGGATTTAACACTCAAAACATCCGTTATTAGACATTCTAAAGATATCTTTGATAAGTCACAAATAATGTTTCAATTTGTATTAAATTTACTTTAATGGGAAATCTTATAACAATCCTAAAATATTAATTAATCTGTCTCTACTACATACATATTCATTATGAAGCTTTTTATATTTATCTGCTTCCTTTTTTTCTAATGAAACATATTTCTTCCTTGAAAGAAGATCCTTTTTACTTTTGTACAAATATTTAATTTCATTTTCTTCTTTAACAATTTCATTTTTTAACCTACAAATATATATTGACAATATTTATAATAACAATAGCATATAACAATAAAATTTATAATAAAAATAACAATAATAATAACGATGATATATAATAATGTTTAAAAATATATTTATTTCACCTTTCATATTCCTCCTTTAATTCAATTGAATTACTAATTTCTTCAAACATATGAGTATATTCTTTTGGCGTTTTCATTAATGTGGAGTCAATAGCTCCTTGAAATACTAAAAAATTTTTAGTTGTTACATTGAGATTTAGTTTCCTTAATTTAGACATGTATAACTGAGCAGCAACTACCTTAATTGCAACAAAATACATTATGTACAATTATTTTTTCTATAATGTTAATATTAAATAAAGTATTAAATAAATTATACAAATAATTATTCGTTATAAAGAAATAAAAAAAAATTAATTTCAATGTTACAATTATACAACTTTGTAATATACAGTTAAAAAAATTTACAATTACATAAAGCAAACTTACTTGATCATTAATTTTATATTCTGAAGAAGTATGATATATAGTTCTTGTAAAAGTTTCAACACTACTGTCTTCAAAAACAAATACAGCTGTTACATATGCTCTGCATCATAAATAATATAAAAAGATAACTCTAATGAAATAAATAAATAGAACATTTTCATCACATATGTTACAAGTATGTTAAAACTGTCAATAAAATAAATATACTAAATTATGCAATAAACATATAAATATTATATTAATTAATTGTAAATTATCTAAAACAAAAATAATTATAGTATAATATACGTATGTACATATACATATGTACAAAATATAAATCTGAAAAAATGAAAAAAGGAAGAATATTTATAAGAAATTTACAATCATATATAAATTACATACATATAAATCATATAAATCATAAAATCATACATATGTAGATAAAATTGATTTGATCTACATATATAATGTAGTTTTGTAGATTCTGTTTTTTCTATATAGAAAGAATATTTTAATAAAATTTTTCAGTATACCATCTATTATATTCATTCTATAATAGATAAAACTTACTTTAAGGAAAACTACTGTAATATGTATAATATCAAGTTAATAGTAACTCAAAATAAAATTTAAAACAAAAAATATATTGACACCTGTGTCCTATGGGTATTCCTCTAAATGTACCGTAGATAAGCTCATTGAGTTGTTTAACACGCAAACTTTTAGCTTTTTCACCCATAACAAAACTAATTGCATCCATAATATTTGATTTTCCTGAAACACAGATCTGTAATTTTAGTATTAATATTAATACACCTAAATATCTAAGTTCAATTATCGTGTATACACATATGTATACATGTACTTTATGACATTCTTTTTTTGAAATCCAACGGTAATTGAAGTCAAATGATCAAGATCAAAAAGATAACACTTACCTGATCCATTTGCACCTATAATAGCTGTGAATGGTTTAATGGGGCCAACAGTTACTTCTCCTTTAAACGACTTAAAATTAAAAATTATAATACGATCCAGTTGCACTTGCATCTTGATCTTTATACAGTAGAGTACTATGAATTTAACTTGCCGCTACAATTTCGCACATGTACTACCAACTTTATTAATCGAAAATTGAAACGTAAAGAAATATTCCGAATTAATCCTTTTTGTGAAACTATTAATAGTGCGATAAAATAAATCAAACTGAAGATTCATTCTTCATATTGCTTTGAAATATTTAAGATATTTATATTAGAAACGTATACATACACAAAATAGAGAAATATTACTTCTTAATTTTCATGGAAACTAGAAATAAAAGCAAGATTATTAATTAATTTTGTTGAGTTTTTTAAAGTTAAGATTACTCTAAGACTGACTATTACGAAATGAATTGTAATTTACAGAACACAACACATATCTTCACGATAAATCTATTTCAGATAAAAAGTAAAATTTATTTCAGTAACATGATAACATTACGAGTAATCTACCGCAAAATACGTTAAAAATGGATTGACAATTTAATAAAATATTGTTACTTCACATTGTTTTCACATGATATAAAAATTGCTAATTGATTTTACTCTACAACTTATGTTACTTACTGTAGAAAGGACAGACATTTAAAAACTAATAAACAATACATTATAATAAATTTTTTTATCCTAGAAAGGTATGTGTTTACATATAGTTACTTACAATATAAAAATTATGGTTTAACATTTCATGTACCTAACTTAAAAATTGACATGTTATTTTAATTTAATACATAATCTATGTACTTATATAAATAATTTATTACCAAATAACTTTTACATTACTAAAGGCAATTTCTTAGTTAAATCTACTTGAAATAAGCAGAAGAATTTTAGAACAATTGAAATACGATAGTATTACATTAATGTTTCTGAAAAAAAAGAATTACAAGTAAAAGATTGAATCGTTTGAATACTCTAAAATTTGTTTGATTTGACCATTTCTCATGAATTTACGAAATACATTTTGATACAATGTATCTTGGAAATAAAACTACTATATGAAAAATAAAATCATAAATGAAACATAATTGAAGTATGTGTAATTATAGTTGAAATATACTCTATCAGTTAATATGCGTGGGATATGTGGTTAAATCAAGAGTTAATACTTTACTTTCCAAGCAATCACCAACCTGTAATCAAAGAGAAATATATGTGAAGTATTTTGTTATAGTGGTATAAACTTTCAATAATTACACCACATCAATACTCACATCAGGGCAAATGCCAATTAACGCGTCAGCATGAGAATAAAATTCTTCTTTCAAAGATATGACAATTGTTTGTAAAGAACTTGTTTTATCACGTATATAACTAGCAACTTTTCCTATATTGGTATTATCCAGTGCAGCATCAATTTCATCCAAAACAAAGAATGGTGCAGGTTGAAAACTATAGATATTACAAAATTAAATTACCATTTACTATAATACAAAATAAATGAAGAATGATAAGATGTATATATTATATATATATTTATTTCAGATAATTTAAAAAATTAATAATTAGATACCGCAATACCTGTGAATTGCAAACAATAATGCTAATGCTGCAACAGTTTTTTCTCCACCAGATAAATTAGACATTGGTTGAAATCGTTTTCCTGGTGCAACGCAATTGTAATTAATACCATCTAAATAAGGTTCTTCTGGATTCTCTGGTCCAAGAAATGCTTGAGCAGACTGATTTTTTGCTAAACTCTGAAATATAATAAATTTATCTATTGTTTTTCTTAATTTACGTATTTAACATATACAAACCTTGTAAATTGGATCAATTTCATTTGCCACATGTTCGAAACAAGCCATAAATCTATCATGTCTTTCTTTTTTGATCTTCTCGAATTGTGTCTTTGCTTTTTTCGCTTTTTTACGAGACTGTTCAAATTCTTCGTTAGTTTCTTGTAATTTCTCTTTAGCAAGATACAATTTTTGAATTGCCTTAAAAAAAAATTAACATTATAAATGAAATATCTCAAAAAAAAGAAAAAGAAAAAGATTCTTTTAAAGCAGAATATATATAATTAAAAATTTAAATGTGATCGCATCGGTTTAAAAAACTATCTACTATCAACTATACTTTTGTATCATAAGAATCTAATAAGAATATGAAATTCTATTGATAAGCCTCATTGGACATTTAATATTTCCATTGATCATGTGATCAACAAAAAGAAATGCTGTAACTTCATGAAATACTAATTATCTGAGCATAAAGTTTACAATACTAAATTGTACCTCCAATGTAATGTATTTTCCCTGTAGAATATTATATCTTTACCTTCATATTTGGAGCTTGAATACGTTGAATAGTATTTTGTAAATCATTAATCGTTTTTGTCAGTTTGTCAGTAGTTTTCTTAATATCTTCTTCTTCTATATCTTTCAAATTCTCAGGAAGGAGAGCATAATCTATAGTTATTCGTTTCTCACGTTCATATTGTTGCTGGGTACTTAGCGATGAGTCATTATTAATTTCTGAACTATTAGTTGTACTAGTTTCACTAGCTATATCTTCCATATTTCCATGAAGCATTGGAATTGCAATGTCTTCCATCTAAGTAATGATATATTTATAAACTTTGTTTTTAAAACTTTAAACAAAAAGACTTGATAAACATTTTATTTTACAATATACCTTGCACTGCATTAGAATAGCATGACGTTCAGCTTTTTTTTGTTCAATCTTGGTCTCAATGCCATTTAATTGTTTTTGAGCAGCTTGTATATCTTTTGCTATCGCTCCAACTTCGCGTCTAGCTTTACCTATTTCATCTTCTTTTTGATCAACTTCCATTTTTTTTGCGTTCCGGGCCGATTTCAATTGCTCCATTTGAGTTTCATCATGATCTATTTCTGCTTTTTGATTAGATTCAGTTTGTCTTGCAGATTCTAGTTTATCTTCTGCATCTTGAACGGCGCGTTCCCATCGTAGAACATTGCCTAAATTTTACATAAAGTGATTAACAGATTCCAATTAAATATTAATTTAGCGGAACTATGAATTGAATTTTTATAAAAATATATACATAAAGTTAAATTCTACTCACTTTCCGTATCGCGTTGTTTCTCAAAATCTAGTTGATTGTAAATACGATTGCATTGATTTTCAAACTCCATTCTCTTTTTCGCTCTTTCTTGTTGTGATCTAAAAGTATAATTGTAAGAATTATTTTATATTCGAAATAGATGAATCAATGTTAAAAATTATTTTCTCTATTTTCTTCACTATTTTTAATATAAAATGAAAATAAACATACATATTTATACTAATTATATTTATGAAACTTAAATACACATACCGTAATTCCCTTTCTTCGTATTGACGAATATTAGATACACCTATTTGTTCACAGAAGCTAGCAAATACATCATCTTCAACATTATTCATTTTTTCTTTGATGTTTTGTATTTCTTGATCTCTCTCGGCCATCGTTTTTTCAATTGCAGCTATTGTTGGCTATATATAAAGAATCAATTTAATAAACATTCTTACATAAGTGTAACAGATATAAAAAATCTACATACACCAAACATATTCAATTCGTTCTGAAGAGCATCTAACTCTGTTTCCAGTTCCGAAATTTGTTTTTGCTGTAATAAGTATAATTTAATAGAAATTATGGTATATATTATGGCAAAACTCATATGATAAAAAAAAAGTTACTATTACTCTTATTATATATATTGGCATTACAATATATAGTATTATACAGCATTATAAATTATATTATTTACCGTAGCAGTTAAATCACTTTTATTATATTTTAAACGTGTTTCCAATCCTCGTATTTGAGACTCAACTGTATTTAATTCAGATTCTTTTCGTGATTTTTTCAAAGATTCACGTAACTCTTCTGTTAATTTTTCCTGCAAAATATTTAATATATTATTACTGAATAAAATTGCAGAATGTAAAAGTAAACTACAGCAGAATAAAACCTACATTTATTTAATCGAAATTTTAGTCAATACCCGATTAAATAAATGTTTACTGATTGAAGTCATTTGTTTGAATTGCTACAAATTCTAATTATATAAACTATTCATACAAGTAAAGTTTTATTGTATATATCAAATTAAAATATCTTACTTTTTGTGCCTTTAATTGAGACATTTGTTTCTCATCCCATCTTTTCGCTTTCTTTGCAAGATCTAAACTGCCGCCTGATATAATTCCTGCTTTTTGATAAAATGTCCCATCTAATGCAACACACTGTAATTACATGCATATATTACGTAATTATTGTTCTTCCTAAAACAGTTCTCCCTACTTATTACATACATACATCATATCTTGCTTTTTTGTCCATTTCATAAGCTACTTTATTTGCATCTTCGGGTGTTTCACATACGAGTGCATTATTTGTAGCAAATAATACAGCTCTGTCAATATCTTTAGGTGAAAAATGTAATACATCATATAACAATTTTACATTTTTGGGTTCCTGTATATTTCTAAAACAAGAAGAAAGAAAAAACATAGTAAAAGAAATACGAAATAATTAGAAATCAAAAATTGATTTTCATAAAAACAATACTGTGTATTTTCACAATATTTATTTGTTACATGAAGGAAAAAAGTATATAAAAATATGTTAAAAGTTGAAATAATGACTTTTATAAATATTTAAAGAATTATTTAACCAATTTGTGAAATTAATTTGATATTACATACCTAAGTCTTTCTTTTAATGGTTTTGCTTGGATGTAGTCAAGAGGAAGAAATGTTTCTGGTTCAAGATACTGTTCTTTAAGATACTGAATGCATTGTCTAGCTGTTTTTTCAGTATCAACAACTATAGCTTCCATATATTTGCCAAGAACTTTTGTAATTGCAACATTGTACCTTTTATGAATAGGTTCACACATATTGTACATACGATCATACTAAGAAATAATAATAACAATAATAAGTATACAATTATATTTCACTGTTGGTAAAATAATAATTCATAAAATAATAATAATTTATAAAATATTGAATTTAATTTGTAACTTACCACTCCAGGAAAAAGACGTTTAAAATTTTCTACAATCTCAGTTTTCTTTTTAGTTCTTGATACTTCATGTTTATCAACTTTTGCATCACCTAACTGTTCTGAAATGCTCTCTAATTCTCGCTGTAGATTTTGTATTTTATCTTTTGACGTACCAACGTCAGACTGTAAGTCAGCTCGCAATTTTTTTTGATCCTCTAAAGCAGCTTCTGACGTTCTTATATGTTCTTCTAATTTTTCTACTCTTTTAAGAGCTTCATCTCGCATATGACCTTTTTGTTTGTGTTTATTCTCTATTTCTGTCTTTTTTCTTCCTTCATTATCAAGTCTATCTTGATCAGATTTTTGTTCCCGATTGATAGAATCGAGAAGTTGTAAATATCTTGCTGATTGTTTACCTGCTTCCTCTTTCAAGCGATTATATTCTCTAACCTTAATGTTAATATTATAATTATTACAGTGACTTATTTTTAAAAGAAACATTATAAATAAATCTTGTTGAAATTCTTACCTGTTCATCTTCAAGTTGTACATCTCTTCCTTGTAATTGTGATTGTCCAGCAATACTTGCTTCATAAGCTGCTTTAGCTTCTTCTACTTGTCGCAGTTCTTCTTGAAGTTCATGTATATCTTTTTTATGAGCTTCATCTGCAATACGTGCTTGAGCTAATGACTTCCGAGCTGATTCTACTTTTTTTTGCATATGTGCAACACGTTCTTTTGCTTTGATAAATGTAGGTCTTTTCTTTGTTATTTCAACTTCTACTTCTCTGATATCCTGTTCTATTTTAGCAAGATCTCTTCCCAATTTCCCAGCTTCTTTCTTTTTCTCCTTTAATAATTCTTCTGCCTTCTCCTTTTTCTTTTCAATTTTTTCTATCTCATGTTGTTTCTTCTTCTGCGAAACTTCTAAGTTCTCCGTGCTCTTTTCATTATGAAATAAACGAAATAATTGAAGCTCCACTTGTTTTTCTATCTGCAAATTGACATTTTTAAATTGATTCAATAATAGATGTGTAAGTTATGTAATTTATTTAACATAAAATGATTGAAGAAATAAATGACTTACATATTCTTCCTTTAAACGTTGATATTTTTCAGCTTCTTCTTTTTCCAATTTTGCTTCCTTTCTTTCAGCAGCAATACCTTTCTTTTTTTGGTATGAAAATTGAGTTTCCTCTTCTGCTTTCAACATTTCCGTTCTTAATCTATAAAAGTAAAAAATCTGTTAATAATTGCAACAAATTTATCTGAGATTCACTTCACTTTCAAATAGTATCTATAAAATCTGAAAATTTATCTGAAATTCATTTCACTTTCAAATAGTATCTATAAAATCAAGATTAATTATTAAACTTAATAATATTACTGAATAACATTACATAAAAGATATAAAAAAATATGAAAAAATATAAAAATAATATATATATCTTGTATTTATAATTTAATGTACATAAATTACCTTTCATATTCTGCTTTTAATGCACCAGAATTACTAATTTCTTCAAAAAGTGCAGTACGTTCTTTTGGATTTTTCATAGCTATTGATTCTACAGCTCCTTGAAATACAAGAAAATTTTTTGCTTTGACATTAATGCCAAGTTGCTCTAGCTCATTGAGATACACTTGACTTGTAACTACCTGTTCAATAGACATAAAAAATTTTCATTTTAAAATAAATTTCTAATTAAGGTAATTTATAAAAATAAGACTTACATTGTTATTTATTCTGTGTTCTGAGGATGAACCTTGTACAGAACGCATAAAACTTTTTTCAGTTCCATCTTCTAATTCAAATACTGCAGTTACAGATGCACTGTAATTTATAGTGATTGCAGTGATTGTATAAGATATATTATATATGTAAACTCATGTAACAAATCTATTACATTACTATATTAATATTAATTTATATTGATTTTTAACTTACTCTCAAATACTGATAAAATATTAAATAATAAATTTTTTTAAACAAATCACATCGTTTTTTACTTTTTACAAGTAGACGCTTATAAATATGTGAGAGAGAGAGAGAGTTAAATTAATTTGTCACAAATTATTAAACCGTTATTAACAATTAAACAATCATTAACAATCTAAAAAAACAAATTCAAGTACAATAATTTTAGAATATTCTTTAAAATAAATCTTTTATTAAAAAATTCTCTTCAAAACATGTAAAAGAAAAAAGGAAATTACTATATATCTTAAAAAATAAAATATTTATTGAAAAAATTTGTAGTAAGTACATATTACAAGAATTACATATTAATCTTACATTGCTTTTCCTTCAAAATTAAACGATTCAGTGTTCTTTTAACACATTCAGCAAATACTTCGTATGTCACTTTGATATTTGCAAAAATTTAATGTTTTACAAGTAAAGATAAAAATATCTTTAGTAGTAATAAAAATATCTTTATTAGTAATTAATTTGTTAGTGTAATTTATATTAACCAAAGATTATTTATTTAAAATGATTTAAAGCAAAATATATTAATGTATACTGTGTAATATTAAAACAGACGATTAAAATATACACTGTACTATATTATGAAAATTCTTCTTCAAATGATCTTAAAATAACATTTTTAATGTAAAAGATCCAAAAATACCTTCGAGCAACTGGCATTCCTATTGAAGCTCCATGTATCAACTCACTAAACCGCTTTACACGTAAACTACTTGTTTTTTCTCCCATAACAAAACTAATTGCATCCATGAAATTAGATTTCCCTATATTAAAAGGAAGCATACAATGCAATTATAAATCTGAAATTATTGGAATATTTTCATGTACCATCATAACAGAACATAACCTACCAGATCCATTTGGTCCAACAACAGCAGTAAATGATTTTAAAGGTCCTATAATAAGCTTCCCTTTGTAAGACTTAAAGTTTTCTACTTCGATATGCTTTAAAAAAGCCGGCATTTTTAAAAATATTTTAAAAATCTCACAAATAACAGCGAAGTGGCATAATTGGCGCCATAAACTTTCCAACACAAACAAGCATTATACGTCAACAATTGGTCTTCCAACTGCTGTGAAGATAGCGATGAAATGCTATCAGCATACTTCACTTTCCATGAAATACAAATAATATAATTAAACAATAAGTAATGATAATATATATGTAATATATTAATATATATATATACAATGTTGAGTTATATACAATTACATTTTATAACATAAATTTCATACATTCATTATGAATATATTTCAAAAGTATTATTAAAGATTGTATATTTTAGTTCAGATATAATAATTTTTAATACTATAAAATTGTAAAAATTTTTTAATTATAATTTTATATTTACGAGTTGATTGAGATCGACAAACGAGTTGATGTTTTATTACACGAGTAAAAATATATTATTTTTAAAAAAAGGATTTTTTGTTTTAATTTTATAAGCAATAATATTTAAGAATCAAAAACATCCGATATAATAAACATGAAATAAAACATATTACAAAACAATATAAAATACAGGTATATATATTTTATTTAACAAATTTTAATATTGTGTGATGAATAATCGTTTTATTTTATGCACACATGCCAGAATTTATAAGTTAATCAAAAAACTATTAATAATTTTCTAACAAGAAATTACTAGATAATATTCAATAGAGTATATTTTAAAGTTTAATATTTTGTACCAAAGAACAAGAAAGGCCTGTATTATCAGGCTCAACATTCAACTCTTTAACTATTCCATCTTCAAGAATCATAGAATATCGTTTACTTCTTTTTCCACCCAATACCGGTAAATCTACAGATAGCTCCAATGCATCTGTAAACTGAGCTGCAGGATCTGCCAGCATACGTACCTACGTGAAAAAGTGTAATATACTTCAATTGTCACTTCTTATATAAAACAAAATTACTTTTAAAATATATAATATCAATCAAATATAATATTACTTTGCCTTCAGCTCCATGTTCTTTACCCCATGCTGCCATTACAAACGGATCATTTACAGAAATACAAAAGATTTCTGCAACTCCTTTAGATTTCAATTCATCAGCTTTTTGTATATAACCAGGAAGATGTGTCTAAAACAATATTAAATTTTTAAACACAATATCTTTCTTTCTTTTTAAAATATTCAAATAGATCTTTATTAAACAAACATCTTGATCTTATATATATAAAATATTATATATATTTCTTTGTCAATTATTCTGATTTGAATAAAACTTGACGAATGTTTACTAACACTATATAAATTTTGTAAAATTTGTTTCTTTGTTTATTCGATTATATTTATAATTCTTTTAGCTAAGTAAAAATAATTACTGCGTTTTGCTAAATAATATTTTACATAATTGCATCAAATAGAATACATTGGATACATCAAATTAACTTTTAAACAAAAGAGATAACATATACCTTTGAACATCCTGGTGTAAATGCACCTGGCACTGCAAAAACTACAATTTTTTTCCCAGCAGCAATTTTGCCAAGATTTACTTTATTTGCGGGAGAATCTTCAAAAAGATCAATTGTGGGTAACTTTTCTCCTACCTAAACGAGTATATCGACAAATACATAAGTAACGAAATTATGCAGAAAAAAATTCATTATTATAAAATACTTGTACAAAAAGCATAATTACAACTTGTCTCGTTATTTTTTGAAGCAAAAAGCAAAAGCAAAAAACGAAACTTACAGCGATAACCATGTTTTGTGATGATAACCGAAATTGTCGTATGAAATAACCAAATGACAATCGTTCGTTAATAAAAATTGCGCGATTTATAAGTGGGTTCATCTGTATATATAATTGTTAACACCGTAAACCAAATAATCAACTATTTTTCATAGAATGAAGTCATAGAAGAATTCATTTAATTAAAATACAACCAAGAATTGACTGAATGAACATGTGATATTGCGCAACCTTTTCGACTCATTACATAAATATAATCATTCCTTTTCGCCCTATATTTTTATTTCTGATACTTATTTCATTTACGTAGTACAAATTGATTGAAAACATTAGCGACACGTAAGTTACACAATAATGATTCATCATTTATTAAAATCATTGATAATTACAAAACTGTAATATCCTGATTTAATCAATATAACCTTAGATGTCCACAATGACTTATCCAAAATAAATTTATGGCTTTTTATAGGAATTGACACTGTAAATAAAGTATGTAAATTATGTAAAATTCTTGACAATTAAAAAATGCCTGCAATTCAAGATTTCTTTTAAAATTTAAATGTTCCCGCGTAAAATATATATCGCAAGCTGAATACTAATTCTGATCGTACAGCATAAAGTGGAATGACGTGGGGAATAGGGAAAGAAAAAAATATATCCACAAGTATTTAATTTGTTAACAATTTTTCGCATAATTTACAACTAGTAGCGTTAAATATTATTTAAAATGTACAATAATTCTACAATAAATAATCTCAGTTTTCAATATATTTTGTTCATCTACACGGAGACTATAGCTGGCACAGCTCGAAAATAGTTTTCATATCTGCAAACAATAAAAAGAATTAATTTATCTTTAATATATAATTAAACATTTGTAATCATGTTAGAATGCGAGTGATGAAATGCGTTTTTTCACTTAAAAGAAAATTGGAACTGGAATTTCAATTAAACAGATTTAGTTACGAAAGTCTAAAAATTTCAAAAAAAATTAATTTACTTTCCAATATCCAATTGAAAATTTAATCAATTCATAGACACTGAGATATTAGCGTCACGTAGCGATGAAATGGTGGAATTAATCAATATTGCTGTCATCGCACATTATATTACGCGCTGTAGTGATTATGATGATAATATCATAATACTACACATAAATAAAAAGAACTTCGTAACTTTAGTAACTTTTTAATAAATTATAATAAATGATATTTAAATAACAATAATATATTAGATAAAGTTTATAGCACAAATAGATAACTGTTTTCTGTGAATGTTAATTAAGGAATGAATAACAAATTATAAAATAGGATCTATACATACATCTCTATAAATAAGTAAACATGGTAATAACATCTCCATAGTAATAATAAAAATAAAATAACAATTTACAAATATTCTTACGTTAGGGGTTTATACACAGTTGGCGATGTTTACAGGAAACGTACTTTTCGGCGGAATGATTATGTAGATGGCGTTGATGTTAATTTTGAAGAGGTAACGGTCGCTACAGCGCTGTAGCGACCTATAGTTCCTCGAGTACGAGTTTCGAACACCAACTTGCACAAGTCCCAAGTGGTTGTGCGCCTAGCGTCGAAGTCAATCGATATTCGATGTTAAGCAAACAGAGTGCGGATGGGTGACCATCATCCAGCCTAGCGAATAGTTACAACAACAAGCGTCTGGGGTAAGGAGTCGCTGCCATCAACTGATGAGTCTAGGCAGCGACTCTGAGACGAAACGCACAACCTTTCCTCACCTTACCCACATCATCACTTCCTACATTATCCTCGCATTATCATCGCCACTTTCAATCCCTTCAGCGCCTTGTCTAGTGCTGCCAGCTACATATTTCTCAGTTCTCTTTGGAACTAAAAAGAAAAAATGGAAAATCCAATAAATGGCAGGAACATATATCGATCGGAGTCGGTAATAGACTTTAGTTCCAAAAGTCACTGATAGATAACAACACGTAACCTTTCATAGGTAAAGAAGACAGATAGTGTGCGACAAGAATAGATTCATATTGTGCGGCAAACAAAAAACACAGGCACAGTTGAGAACAAAATAATGTGATTTTCTTCTGGTTCTGAATAATTTCTCCTGTTTCAACAAAGTTAATAATAATTTATTAAAATAAAAAAAATTTCTAAGTAGATTAATAATAAAAAATTATATCATACACTACGTACGTTTAAAGATAAGCTATATAATGTACATTCCTGTTTGACAATATTAGCAGGGTCATGATCTCGATTACTACCAACATGTGATGCGATTAATATTGATACCCACATGTAAGTACGATTTAATTCAAATACAGAAGAATTGAAACGATAGCAAACAGGAATGAAGTGAATAATGAGGCATATAACATAACGTATCATTTTAATATGACCTTAACGTCTTTTCTTTGTTTTGAAAAAGATTGAATCATTCTATTCCGTATGAACCATTCTATTATTTGTATTGTTTAAAGCGATGTTCGATTTTTTAAGCGGAAATAAATACTATAAAAATTCAGACAATATACATTAAAAAATGATCATGAAACGAATCTCGATTGATGAGAAATGACGATTTTATTTTATTAAAATCATGAAAAATCCGAGATACAAGTATATAATAATAACAGTGACAATAATAATAGTAATAATGATAACAATAATAACAATAATAAAAATGTTGATATATGTAGATATGAATCTATTTATGTGTAATTAAAAACCAGCTAAGACATTCATAAGACGATAATCTCTTGTTCTTATTATAAATTTTATTACATACGTGCATATCTACTTATGTCTGTACATATGTACACACATAGGTATATATAATAAATCGTCTTTTCTTAGATAGAAAGAGAGAAAGAAAATTCTGTTTCTGTTGAATTTTTAAAAATTGCGTAATTATTTAATTTATTATTTTAATTGATTGTTTTAATCGCTGAAATGGCTGATACAAGAAAAATTAGATTTCTATTTAAAAAACAGGAGATAACGTCGAAATATCAAAAAATACATGTACATAGCACGCAGTCGGAAAAGCTCTAATGCTGTATCACTCACTGAGTTATCAAAGTTTCACTTATTATTTGTGTATCTTATCCTATACTATACAACATAAGCATGTTGCATGTATATAGAGACCGTATCTTGTACGTATGTTTTTTCATCTTGTCACATTTTCTTTTTAGTCTTGCCGATACAAAATAACATGTCAGTAAAAAGTTTCAAAACGACAAATATGATTCCTCCCTCCACATTTAGAATTCTCAAGGAATATTTTTGATATTTTTTTTTTAATGGGATTAAATATCTTTTTTTTGTGCGCTAATCGATATGTAGGTGAACATGAATACGTAATCCAGCTTAAAAATATGTCAATGACATAATTAATTAAGGAATTGAACGGTTGTTTGAAAGTAGATGAACACTTTGAGCATCTGTTGCAAGTAAAGCACTTACATAAGTAATAATATCATAAATGTTTACGCAAATATTTTCGTATATATCTGATACATTTGGAACACGTAATTAAAAAAAAAAAATTGATAAAAAATCAATTGCTTTTTGAAATTTTTATTAATAAAATTTTAAAAGCTTAAATAATTGTATTGATGTAAATTGTAACAATCGTATTATTAGTATATGTTATTGCTTCATGTCTGTCGTCTTCATGCATATATGTATGTCTCGTATAATACTTATATTAAGCCAATGATATGTCCTCTGTGCATTGTATTTATATAGTTTGTATTTAGTTATTTTTTAAGACACTGAGGACACAGAAAATTTGTTTGTTTAGTTCAGAAAAAGAAGTGTGATAAACTATCACGAACTGTAAGTAACTGCCAGTGACTGCCTTTAAATCTATTATTTTCAATGTATTATTAAGTGTGTAATTTATTATTTATGTATATTAAGTATATTTATAAATATGTATATGTATATAATATGTATATGCGTGCCTACTCGTGTAAAATAATAAATGATATTGAAATTTTATTTACTTGATATTATTTAATATGATTGAAAAATAAATATATAGATAAGTAACAAAAATTTTTACAAAACAATTTAAAATTATCAATATTTTGTTATTCCACAACAAACATAATAAATGTGCTTGAAATATGCTCGAACCTAATATCGAACCTCGATAATAAATATCGATTTATTATTGTTAGCATATTTTCAATGTATTAGCATATCCTAAAAAACGTAAAGCGTTATAGCATATACATATTCTTTTTTATTTAAAATCTTTAGTTTTAGAACAAAGTTCAAAATATTTAATTTTTCCAAATGTATATACACTTTTCATTTTTTTCATTTTTTCAAGTTTATGGAATATTTTCAAACGTGCAGCAATTAAATTTATAACAATTAAATAGGACGCATACAAATGTTGCTACTTTGTACATAGTACACATATGTATATTGTGCAAAATCGATTGAAATATTGATGTATAAAAGTAAAATTTGACATTCGAAAGGAAACGTAAAGGAAATTTCACGAACAGCAATAGTATAATTTATTAGTTTATCCACTGTTGTGCGAATAATTAATACACGTTATGAAACACCCTGTCTGCCGCCAATGCAGCGTCTGACATACTGAAGGTTCGCATACAGTGGTGTATCATGCGGTTTCCCACTTTTATAAATTCTTCCAACGTATCTTTTATGACATCATTATCTGCTTGTAATATCGATTACAAGCGGAAGAATAGGAACTTATTCAAAAATTTGATCAAGCTTCTTGTCTTTCTCCTTTTATTTTCAAAAGTTCAAAATGTTAGGTGTATTGAAGTTATATTAGTTGAGTATTCTATATCTATTGACTTATAATTTCCAAAGAATCTCGTACAAAAGTGCAAATTTTGAATAATTCAATTCTTTATTTAAAGCTGCATAAATCTTTTCGTTATTACATGCATTGTACTTGCACTGTTACATTTTATTTAATGATTAAATTTAGTTAAAAATTTGTGTAGTACATAACATGTTAATTACCAATATAATTAATAAACACTTGTGTATGTTATATTACGTTATGTATATAGTTTTCGATAAAAGGAATAAAGTAATAAATTCACCAATGAAACATAGATGGGAGAAAAAAACTATTACAGAAAAACAGAAGAGAAAGAGAAAAAATTATTATACTTTAATGTCACGCTATTGTTTGGTAATGTCTTAGTTTAAAATTTAGATGCATGTGTATATTTAGATATATACGTACGTGCATATGTAATTATCTGTATTAAATAGATAACAGATAATCGTTACAATTAAGATACGATATGTCGTAAAATGAAAATGTCCTGTACGAATTTCCTCGAATCTTTACTTTTAGCAAGTATGTATTGATATGTTAAAGTACAGTTTAATTTGAATAAAATGTTATTATACCCTCATTGTCGCGCCTTTACCACGTACGGCCGTGAAAGATACATCGCGCGCGCATACTCACGTGTCCTCGGTTAGCTTGAACTTACTTACGTACATATATAAACGATACGTGCACTCAGTTCGATGACTAAAAGAGAATCGGATGGTGTTATAGTGCTTCACTGGGCTTACCACTTTGTTTGTTTCGTAATTAAACAGGAATTATCTGAACATTTATGTACGTGCAACACTGCTGTATCAAACGAATCGAACGAAAATGAACGTTTCAAACATTGATTTGCTCGATCAGTTGAAACACACGGGGAAACTTTGGTATCTCGTTAACCCTTATGGAACAATTTTCGAATTCCCGCATCAAGTACCCGATTATCAGCAGCAGGTAACCATACAACCAAACGCAAATTTCTTTTGTAATCAACGCTTCGTTAAAAATATATCCTATATATCTTAGTATTCTCTTTCTGCTTTTCATTTCTCACTCTATATTTATGTTAGAAACAATTTGTCAGATTTCATTCAGTCTTGTTAATGAATGTAGTAGGCAAATACATATCTACATATGCGCGCGCGTCTATATGCGTCTACTATATAATAAATGTATTACAATTGTTGCAAGTAACATCACCTCTTTGGTATTATGAAACGTCAAGAGGATAAGAAATAATAAAATGTTGCACTCCAATTTCCATATCATTTCTTATTTGTTCTTAACATTTATTCCTATTAGTTTTTTAGTTTCTTTCTTTAAATAGATTTTAGTCGATTTTTTATCTTTTAATTTCTATTAATTTTCATTCAGTTGACAATTGAATATTTGCCTATTAAGTAATCAATACAAATATATAGTCGGCAATATATGCTTTCATTATAAAACAACCACGTTAAAACAGAGATATAAAATAAAGCGAAACGTATGCACTTGCTTACTTATCTTTCAACTGTTGTTTCTGCTTCGCGTAATGGTTTTATCATTCGGATCATTTCAAGGATTATTAAAGTCTCTGGTATTTTACTCATTACACATTAATTTTTAATACATCATTCGATAATGAAAAGAAAATTACGCAATTTACGAAATAATAATACATGCATATGTACATATGTATCATGTGCTTATAGTGCTTACACATATGTATTGCCGATAAGATAATCAAACACAGACATTATATCAATTAAGATAAAGTAAATATATACGTAGGTATGGTTACCATTTTTGGTCCTTATCATATTGGAGCAAATTATATTATTATCTAAGAAAAAGAGATTTCGTTTGAATGATCAAGTGACGTCCTTATCCCACTGGATATTTTCTGAAACTAGCCGGTAAGCATAGGTTTTATCACTTTATCAGCTCTTATTATTTATTTTTATTTTCCAACTACTCGTACTTATTACTAGTACTATCGCTTTTTGCGTTTAAGAAAAAATTTATTTTTATATGTATGTCATATAAAAATGTCATATCATTACTACAAAAATGAATGCAATTGTAAAATCTCGATTTATAATCTCTATAAAAGTTGCAGAGACTGAAAAGAGATCACGTTTGTGCGCGTTGCTTTAGGAATTACAAATTGCTTCGTAATTATCATGCGATATACATATGTAGATGTCTATTGACTTGGCTTCTTTAGTTTCTTAATGGCATTATTGCAAACATTTCTATCGCTTGAATGTAACTTTTAAACCTAAACATGTATAGTTCAAACTTGAAAGGCATCGGAAATTTTTATTACTAATATCTTCAACGGAACGTTGCAGTATTTTCTTCCGTGGTGCCGAGTATTACGCGTACATCGTAATTTACGAGAGATACCGCTGGTGGAATTTGCCTTGGGACTCAACATGGACTTGGTGTATCACTGCCGTGGGGGTGGATTTCTGTTACTATTGGGTTCACCGCAGTAACCACGGTTAAATTCCTATCCAACCATGTGTGTGATTGTCGATCCTCTATTTGACAAATTTATAGCGTTTCTCGCCCGTTTACAGAGGTACACTTTTTATGGGCTCAGCATCAAGTGCATCATAGCAGCGAAGAGTTCAATCTCGCGGTCGGTCTGCGGCAATCTGTTTTGCAACACTGGTGTAACTTCGTAAGTATCGCTCATGTTACGTACATATACATATATATATATATATATATATATATATATATATATATACACGCATACATACACGAGATTCTGTACATGCGTAGGTACTTAAGTAGGTACGTGTACGATCCACGCTACGAAATGAAAAAAGTGGGGCGTCTGATGTTATATCTGCGCATTTGCGTCCACATCGCGAGTCTTTTCTTCTTTTTTCTTTTTTTTTTTTTTTTTTTTTTTTTTTTAATTAAAAAACGAAAAAAAAAAAAAAAAAAA